TTGCACTTTTTATTAACATATTAAATAATCAGACCTAGCGGCACATGTTGTCACTGCCAAAATTTCGAAGCAGTGAACATAAGTGAGATCGGGAGGTGTCAATAACTGTAAGGTGATAGGACACATCTGCGATTTCTTTGGTGACAGTCACAGACACTACTAACACTCTTGTCGTGTGTAGTCTATGGCAATAATTGAAAGGAATGTGAAATTTCAGTTAATTGAAGTTCCTGTAAATAATAATATATTTTCCCCACCTATGTTCATGGACCCCTGATCTACGCCATCAATTCTTTGAGAATGGCTGAGCTCTTGTAGGAGCGAGGCAGCACTGAAATGAGGGGTGGTCAGGTGCTGGTCAGGGACTCCTCCTCTGTTACGAATGAGGGCATTCTAGGCAGAAGACCCTGAAGCGTCCCCCAAGTTCACTTTCTAGCTGATGGCCTCATTCTCGTCACCCTTATTTGCTCTATGAGTAATGTGAGAATCCTGCTGGGGTTGTCTGGTCCAGATGCTTCACAAGGAAAAAGGGGAGGCCTATCTTGGAATCCAGCAAGGAATGAAGCCCACCAGGGGAAGAGGTACTTGGGTAAGGATCATTTCCCTCACTGAAACACATTTCCCTGGAGTCCTGTGGGGCATCCATGGTGCCAGGGACAGACCAGTACACCAGGAGACCAGCTCCACCTGCTCTCTGGGGGCCTGGCAAGTCACCCACCTACCTTGCTTTCCCCAGTTATAAATAAATAAAGATAGTATCTTTCAACTCAAACTATATCTCACCATAATTCTACAAGTTGGGAGCTAGAAAAGTATGCAAACAAGAAATAAAAAACAAACAACTACCCAGATAAGCATGACCCCTCCTACCTTGGGGTCTTCATATCTATTTCCAAAGGGCAGGAATGTGAGACACATTGTTTCCCACTATAAATGATGCTCCCCACCTGCTGGCACAAGGAGCCACCCAGACTTGATCCCTAAGGTGCATGAGATGAGGCTCAAGATGCTTGGGGGATCTGGCGGGCGGATGGGCTGCATTTGTAACATGTCTGCGGTTGTGGGAAGGAGAGAAGTGCAGGCCAGGATTAGAAAGAGAACCTGAGTCACCTGGTCCAGAGCCCAAAGAAGTTTGGCAAAGGAAGAAAACGAACCAGCACCTCTCCTGAAAGCACGAGGAACCCAGGAGGGTGGGCGACAGGGAGTGGTCAAGATTCAAAGGACAATAGCTCAGAGGCCTCTGTTTTTCAACCGACCCCTCCTTGCAAACCCCACCAGGTGGCCCAGTTTTTCTCCCCTCTCGGGGCAGCTTTGCTGGGACACTGCTCAGGGTATGGAGAGGGGCCTCTGAAAGGGTTTAAGGCCTTCCCAGGCCAGGCAGGGAAAAGAGAACACACCTAACCCCTCACCTTCCCACTTTTCACTCAGGGAGGGAGAGCTCAATTGTCTCCTGATAGCACCTTGGTGCCTTCCTCCCATTAAAAAGTAGGTAGATGGATGGATGGATGGATGGATGGATGGATAGATAGATGGATGGATAGATAGATTAATGAGTGGGCTGCAGGGCCCTAAGAGATTAGGAGAGTGGGAATAGAAGTGACTGATGAATTTGCATACTTCATACCAGAAACCATGTTTGCTCTCTTCTGAATAATTGCAGAGACAGCCTTCCTGAAACCTAGGAACTCCCTACCAGCCTCAGATCCCAACAGAAATGAGCCCCTGCCCATTGAAGGCCCCCTTCTCCAGGCCTCCCCTTACCTGGCCTCCCATCAATGTTGTCACGTCCCCTATGGCAAGGGTCCTCTCCTGGGGGCTGTGGCTAGGAGAGAAACAAGCCCGACATGGGCAAGGGGATAAGAATGGGCCAGGCCTCCTCACCACTCCCAGGCCATCCCACCCTCCGTGCTAACTCCTGGGGTCACTCACACCAGGAATACAGATGGGAACAGTGGTGGGGCAGCCACAAGCTCACACCTACTCACCTGGGATCCTGGGCTAGAGCAGGCTGCAGCTCTGCGTTGCTGGGGGGTGCAGGTGCTTCGGCTGGGGACAGGGAATTCCTCTCCGCTCAAATTAGGCCTCTCTTTGTTGGGCCTCCCACCACCTGTCCCCCACCACATCTCCCCTAGCCCCTCAAATCCTTCCCTGCTCCCCGGCACTCTTAAATAAGGGTCCCTCTCTTTCATGGCACTCTCTGCGCCCAGTTCTCTGTAGTTTACCACCTTGGGTCTCTTCCACTCTGCCCAGCTGGGGACCCGTTCCCCCGGCTCTCGCAGGACTCTCTTTCCTTCTGGGCCCCTCTCTTCAGACCCTCTCCCTGGCTGGCCTCCCTTAAACCTTCTCTTTTTCTTCCCTCTCTCCATCCTGCCCCAGTCCGTTCCCCTAAACGTTCCCCAGCCCCGGCCTCCCCTGGTCCACACCCCTCTTACCTAAAGCAGGCACCTCCAGGGACTCCCCTGCCGGCTCACCCCAGGACAGCCGGGCGCAAGCGAGGAGCAGGCAGAGCGCGGGCGCGGGGACGCTCGGGACCGGGGCCCCCATAGGAGCGCGAGGGGACGCGGAAGCCTGAACACAGGCCCGGAGTCTGAGTACCTCTCCCGGCGAAGGCTCGGTCACACCTCCACTCTGCCTCCCGAGGTCTGTCTTCAGTCTTGCCCAGGGTTCCCTTGGCCCCTCCTCCCAGGCGCTTGGCTCCTCCCCAAGCTAGAGTGACAGGACTGCCCAGGTCATTACCATAATTTAGGCGCCTGAGGAAGATCCAGCCTTAGCCCTTCTTGTACTGGCTGCCCCTCCCAGGGGAGGTTGGAGTCAGATCCCTCAGCCCTAAGTCTTTCCCTCGAATGAGGAGGCAGCCTGTGCAGCCTCCCACATCCCTTATTCCTCAGAGATCCCTGGCTCAGGATCCAGGTCCCGCAAGCCCCTTATGCCAGAGACCCAAGATGCTAGTATGTCTCCTCCCACTCCTTTCACAGAGGCCCTGCGACATGCCCCTCAGTGGTCGGTGTTCAGGGCTCAGGTTGGCAGAGTCCTAGCCTGTGTTCCCACCGCTCTCCACTACAGCCTCCTTAGTCTGCCTCCCCCGACCCGCACACACATACACTCCAGTTTGAGCCGCTCAGGAAATGTTAACTTAATAACAGAAGTGCCTCACACTCCCATCCTGTCTCTCCCATCAAGGCCAGACTTTGACCAAATTTTGTGAACAAGGTACACTTCCCGTCCAGGAGGGAACTGAAAATGGAAATTTGGACCTGAGAGCCTTGGGAACCTGGGCATCAGTCACGTGTCCAACTAAGTGTTGGAACACCAACTAGATGCCAGGCCTTGGAGATGATGATTTTGGCCCGAGGAGACCTCTGAACGGGGGTATAGATTTGGGATCTATTCATTCATTCATTCATTCAGCCATTCAACTAAGTCGGTGAGCATCCATCCCTCATCACACATTGTTCTGGGATGAGGGCGGTAAGTAAAGCACAGGGGGTTTCAGCCATGGGCGTAGATGGAAGGGGAACAGGAGAGAGCCGAGGGTGGAGCCTGGTTAGGGCATGGGCGAAGGAAGGGTTGTCTCAGAAAAAGCTTAAAAGGAAACATGCATGGGCGAGGAGAACCAGGACTGGGCGCTATCCTCAAACCAAGAGGGAAGTATTATAAAAAGGAGTTTGTGGGGGAGGCAGTCATGTAAAAGAATTGGGGTGCCAGTGGACCGCATTCCCTCTTATAAGGGCATTTGCCACCTTGCCTGGATTCTAAACATGGCTCTATGATACAGTAATGAAATGTAGAGAATCAACAAAGAAAATTGGAGAGGAATGTATTTCGTGTGTCTTTCCTGGACCTTTGGAAATCCCACAAGTTTTTCCCTTTTATCTCTGACATAACTAGTTACTACTAAGGCAAGATCGTGGATAACATTTTAAGGTTCTTCTCCGGGAGGGATTTACATCTTAAACTAGGCAAATAAAAAATAGTCTGCTGGCAAAACTTCAGCTATTGCAAAGGAGGTGGTCTTTAGGTGCTCCTGAAGTTACAATGATAAGTGGTTCCCTGATTTGGGCTGCTGTCCACCTCCTGTTCCCTTCCCCCAGTGTGGTGCCTACAGCGCAGGCCCCACCCAGGCACAAGAAGCTCCATAATGGAAAGTCCCCACTCTCCCCACTCACACCTGTATTATTGCCCCTTTCCTGGCCCCTCTTTCCTCTCAGTCTGCCCCAGGCTGGGTCCATCCGTCTTTGTACCCAGCACCAGAACTGGAGTTGAGCAAACTTTGCTTGAATTGAATCACATGAACCAGGTGGGGTCTCAGACATGGGTTAAGGTCAGCTGTAAATCTGACTGTCATTGCTAGGCCCTTCCATGCTTCAGTGAATATGTGTGTGTGTGGGGGGGGGGGGGGGGCTGTTTGGAGGGAGTGGGCTAGGGGAGGTGGGAAGGGAATTGGTTGAGGAGGGGCACTTCCATCCACTGTTTCTGGCCTCTGTGGGCTACACTAAGACCCAGGCCCAAGGAATTCAGATCAAAGATTTCTTCCTAGTGGGAAAAGCCCAGGAAGGAGGTCATTATGGAATGCACGCTGAAGGAGAGACCTGGGGCAAGGGATGACAGACAGGCTCATGAGGGCACATGGGCCTCTGTTTGTCTACCCAGAGAACTCTGACTGGATTACCCCACTCCCTACCCACCTATGTTTGAGTCTCAGGACCACTGCATGACTGCCCCCGCAAAATAAAAAAGAAAAAAAATGTCCCAAACCTCCTCCTTCGTCTCCAGAGATCCTCTCCTTCAAGCGTGAGCGTCTGGAGGGTCGTTCCAAGGGGACTGGGATAGCGTCAGCCACCCACCCACCCACCGCCACATACACACACTGCAGCCACTTGCTCCCGGGGCGCGTCAGAGAGCGGCGACGAGGTGCGGACAGGTGTCTCCCTCCCCCGGCCGCCCTGCCCCGCCCCCGCCTCCACCGGCCAGGCCCCGCCCCACCGCTCCCAGGCCCTGCCGGTCACTGTCTGCGGCAGCCTGGCACCCGGAGGAGCGAATTGTGCAGAGACAAGGCGCGATCTGCCCCAGCCATGGACCGGAAGGTGGCCCGAGAATTCCGGCACAAGGTCAGAGCTGCTAGGGGCACCCCAAGCGCCCCGGGGCCCCTCCCTTTCCCAGTGGAACCCAGAGGGCTCCAGGTAGCCTGGGATCCCTGATGAAGCCAGTAAAATGAGGGAGCAGCACTGGGGCTCCCCTGTAGGAACTGCGGATCTGATCTTTGTCCCTTCTCCTTCTGCCCTCCACGGGCTGGGACGTCTTTAGAGTTGGAATTCCTTGCAGCCCTGGCCTGAGACAGGACAAAGTGGGCAAATCCCCCAGCTCCTAGTGCCCCAGCTCAATTGGAGCATGTGGAGAGGGTGGGGGCAGTGTCTGAGAGTTAGGGAACTGCATCTCTCTCTCTCTCTCTCTCTCTCTCTCTCTCTCTCTCTCTCTCTCGACCTCAAAACCCTTCAGGGAGCCCCCCTTTCCTGCTTAAGGACATTTCTTAGGTCCCCAAGAAGAGAAGCGGTTGAGGAACTGGTGCTGCCCCGGGGGCAGTGGGGAGAAGGGAGGTGGTTCAGGGAGTCAGCCGGAACCTTCCCCAAAGCCACATCTCCCCCTGCGGGTCCCACTGGGGCCTCATTTGTGGTGGGGAGTCCAGACCATCACTGAAAGATGCTGGATTTCACCCAGGGAATTTCCAGAACAGTTTCCAGAGCTGTGCCCGAGCCCTGAGACCAGAGAGGACCATCCCGGAGAGCCAGGGGACCTCCCCACCAGGCCTAGAGTGAAGCCAAGGGTGCCTGGAGATACCCACAGGCCCCGCCTGAGGGACTCACAACTGTGTGCCCTTTCTCCCTCCCAGGGCCCAGAGGGCTCCTGTCTTTACACCAAGCCTACCCTCTTCTCAGGCCTGAGGGTAGAGCTCAGATAGACAAGATGAGGGTACTTAACCCCTCTCTCCCCACAGAGAGGCCCAGGGGAGCCAAGGAGCCAGCCAGTGCAGGGCCACAGGGGCTGAGCGCCAGGAGCCAGGGGTCAGTCATTCACTTCATAAACATGTTTTGAGCACCCATTCTGTGCCAGACCCAGTCTCTGCCCTCAAATTGTTGGCTGTGTGAGTGGGAGGCAGACCCTACACGAATAATTAATTACCTGCAGCTGGGCTGCTGAGCGGGGGGGATCAAGGTTTGCTGGGGCACAAAGCGGGCAACTCATACTGGCAGAAGTTTCCTAACAACGAGGCCTTGGGCATCCTGGGGTGAGCGATAGCTGGGGGGAGTGTGCGGCAGTGTTCACTGGTGTACCCTCTTGCCAAGGGACGTGAGGGGAGACATTTCGGCAGCAAGGGCATCTGGTGAGTGTAGATTTCAGACAACCCACTTTAAAGGATCACAGCCTCACGTCCCCCACCCCAAGGCTCAGGCTTGAGTTTCACTTTCCTGCCCCTGGGCTAAGGCCGGGCCCTCTTTTGCCTTCTCCCCGGGGGAGGAGGAGGTACTAGTCTTCCCCTCTTTTCAGAGAATTACTTCTGGGGCCCCAATGTCTGCGTCAGCCCCTGGGTTAGCCCCTGATCCTCTTCACCAGGCCCCACGGGCTCCAAAGGGCCTCAGGCCTCTGTGTTTACCCCGCCGGGCTCTTCCTCATCACAAGTCATTACCTATTAATGCCCCCCCTTGAGTGAAGGCGGGGCAGGCGCCATGCTGGGCAAGGCCTGGGCTGGACTTTGTGCCCTGCAGCTTGGGAGGCAGCAGCGGCCCTCCCCTCCCAGGCTGGAGATCACTCAGGAAGGAATAGGGAGAAAGGAAGAAGCAGCTGAGGACAGAGAGAGGGGCTCACAGGTATAGAGGGTGAAATCAACTACTTGCTGTCGACTGTTCTCTGGATGTTCCCTCCTTAGTGTTTCACAGCTAATTGACTCACTGGTATGTATACTAAATCCATAGTGCCTTAGACTCTAAGGCTTAGAGGTAGTGTGTTGTCCTGGACAGTGCTATGTGACCTTGAACCAGCTATTAACCTCTCTGTGCCTCCGTTCTCTAATTAAATGAGGATAGCAATCATGTTTAACTAGTGAGGTTACTGTGAGTGCTGGAGGCGATCTACACATGCGGAAGGAGCTTAACTCGACCCGGCACCTAGAGAGGCCTCAACCACCGTTCACCGCTGTTGTCTATTATCTGGGGCTGCGCAGAATTAGGTTCAGATTGCAACCCTGTCAACTCGTGAGCCACGTCATCCTCCAAGTGTTCGTGTTCTCAGTTATGAGGTGAGGTTTGTAGTGCTTCCCTTTAAGGACCGGAGATATGAAATAGGAACTCCAGTGCTGGCTACTCGGGGCACACAGTAACCATTGGATACATGGACATCCTTTCCCCACCGATGCCTTCGGAGCCACAGGAGTCTGTCCCTCTGGGCTTGTGCAGGTTGCCAAGGCCAACGGGAGCACGTGCATGGCCTTCCTGGTCACACGGATACCAAGGGGAGGGGAGGATGGCAGCAAAGAAGGCTGCCCCTCTGCTCGCTCACCTGCACGGTGCAGGAGCTTGGTTACTCATTTGCTCAAAAAGTATTTATTGCCTGTGGGTATCTGTAGTGTACCCTGCCCCAGGCCAAGCACCTGGAGGTGAGGTGGAAATACATAAAAAGGTCAGAAAGAGTCCCTGCCTTCTAGGGATCTCCTCCTCATTCATTCATTGATGCATGCAGTAAATATCAACTAAGCTCATAATATATGCCAGATAATATTTTAACCATTGAATAATAAAACAAAGTCCCTGCCCTCTTAGATAGCACATTCTAGTAGGGAAGACAGACAGTTAACAAGTAAACCAATAAACGTATCATGTAATACCAAGTAATAATAAATGCTATGAAAACTAAACCGGGGTGAGGGGATAGAGAGTAATGTAGGGGTACTCTCTATATAGGGTGGTCAGGAAGGCCTCTCTGAAGAGGTGATATTTGAGCAGAGACCTGGAAGAAGTAAGGCAAGGAGTCTTGGGATATATACAAAAGAGCGTTCCAGGAGTGGGAACAGCAAGTGCAAAGGTCCCGGGGCAAGGAGAGGCTTGCCTTCTTTCAGAAGGGCAAGTACGATGGTGTTTCTGAGAGTAATTCAGAGGGTGGTGGGAGAAGGATCAGAGGTGGTAGGGGGCGAGGGAGTGGGTTGGTAGGCCATGGTCAAGACTTTGGGATTTGTTATGTGATGAGAAGCCAGCAGGGGAGTGACATGACTGATTTACATTTAAAAGGAATTGCTCTAAGATTTGAACATAAACTTCACAAAAGAAGGTACATGAAATACCTATAGGCATGTAAGTAAATGCTCTACATCATTAGTCACTAAGGAAATGCACATTAGACAATGAGATAACATTTCACACCCTCCCGAATGGCTAAAATGGAAAAGACTGACAATAACAAGTATTGGTGAGGATGGGAACAGCTAGAGCTCTCACATGTTGCTGCTGCAGTGAATACAAAATGATACAACCATGTTGTAAAATAGGTAGCTTGGCGGTTTCTTGTAAAAGTTAAACATACATTTACCATATGAGCCACCAATTCCACTCCTAGATATTTACTCAAGGAAGTGAAAATACATGTCCACAAGACTCATACCTAATGAGAAATGGATGAACAAACTGCAATATACCTACACCGTGGACTATCACCCAGTCATAGGAAGGCACACAATGACACAGATGAATCTCAGAAACATTCTGCTGAGTGAAACACAGAGAACACAAAAGTATGATCTGTATGACTACATATATGTGAAGGGGATGGGAGCGGGGCTGACAGACAAGGAAACTCTGAGATGATGAGCTGATTTGGGTGTTGGTCACACCAGTGTGGAAATTTGTTGAAACTCATCAAACCGAATATTTAAAATAAATATTTTTTTTTTTTTTAAAGAAACTGCTCTGACTGCTGGTAGAGAGCAGCCTAAGAGGGCCAAGAGGGGAATCCTGTTAGGAGGCTCCTACAGTAGCCCAGGCCGGAGGCAGGGGCTGGGACTAGGGTGAGGAGAGGTCAGACCCAGGATACATGTTGCAGCCCTTCCTGTGGGCTTTGTTGATGGGTTGGCTATGGGTGTGGAGAGAGAGACACCAAGGGTGACCTACATTTTGGGAAAAGGAGCAGGTTGGTGGAGACAGAGTGGGAGATGGTGGGAACGAAGAGTTCCATTTTGGATGTTTTAAGTGTGAGATACCTATGACCTTCCAATGGAGAGGTGAGTGAGAAGGCCAGTAGCGGTGGGAGTGTGAAGACTGGGAGAGGTCTGTGCTGGACACAAGTCTCAGTGAGTCCTTGGGGTGTGAATGGTAGTTCAAGCTCTGAGACCGACGAGGTCATTTAGGGAGAAAAGGCTCGGGACACCCCAACCTTTAGAGGAGAAGGAACAGCAAATAAGGCAGGAGAACCAGGAGAAGGCAGCATGGTCAGCTGTGCCAAGCGCTGGGTTAAATGCTCCCAACTAGTTGGCAAGATATGAGTCTTTTGAAAAGATTTGAAAAGATGAAGGATAATGAAACAAGAGACAAGCAGCCCCAGCACTATCTGGGATGCAAGCCGTGAGGGCCAGGGAAGAATGTGCCTGGGCCCATTCGTCCCACCAGCATTTACGAAGGGCCCACTCTCTGCCCGCTGCTGAGACTATAGACTGTGTACCATCTATTCTTTTTTTTTTAATATATTTTATTGATTTTTTACAGAGAGGAAGGGAGAGAGATAGAGAGTTAGAAACATCAATGAGCAAGAAACATCGATTGGCTGCCTCCTGCAACCCCCCCTCCCCGCCCCCACAGGGGATGTGCTCACAACCAAGGTACATGCCCTTGACCGGAATCGAACCTGGGACCTTTCAGTCCGCAGGCCGATGCTCTATCCACTGAGCCAAACGGGTTACGGCTGTACTATCTATTCTTACCTAGTTTTATTTAACAAATGCTGAGTACTTACTATTTGCCCGGCACTGTTCTGAGCATTTGACCACTAATCACTCATGAATCACTTTAAAATAATGAATCCCTCAAAGAAGGATGAAATCCTATGAAACAGATACTTGAATCCCCATTTTTCAGGTGAAGCAGAGAGACGCAGACCTAGATGGGGGAGGAGCTTGTTGGCCTCACTCTCCACACTCCCCCCAGGCCTGTGCCTGGGCCACACACACATTAGTGGGGACACAGGCGGGTAAGAGAGAAAGTACAGCACAGCTCGGTGGGTCCCAGGGCCGGGGTGGCAACAGAGCGTGCGGAGAACAACAGGACGGGCTTTGTGGCGGAGCCCGGAGAAAGGCTGGACCAAGGCGAGCTGACATTTGAGCCAAGGAGTCTTAGCGGTGGAAGAAGAGGTCACAGAGGAAATGATGCTGGCACCGCCATCAATAATAGCTAATGTTTCAGGCCAGCCAGTCAGGTGGGAGCAGCTGGCTCATCCAACCGGGAAAACTGAGTCTCTTGAAGGGGCCACATAGAGGGAAGGGCAGGAGCACATGGACCAACAAGGCTTGTTAACACAGCCTGAGAGGAGCAGCAGCCAGAAGCCAGGGCTCCTGAAGGCGAGGGGAGGGAGGGTTCCCCCAAACAGGGGGAGCCATGGCCCAGACAGCATCTGCAGCCTCAGGTCGGGGAGCCCGCCTTAAGGTGATCCAGCGTGGTGGGAGCCGGAATCAGAACCCATTCCCCTTCTCCCCACCCCTCCCCACCCACCGCTGAACACAGCAGAAAGCTGAGGGCAGGAGCTCAGGCAAAGCTTCCTGGGATACAGGGCGTGTGGCGAAGGCTGGCGAGTGGGTCTGGAGGTGCAAAGGAAGAGATTCAGCACATGTTTTGGGGCCCGGGCACTCTCCTAAGTACTTTGCATGCATTCACTCATTTAATCCCCACCGTGGCCCAAGGTCGAGCGGAACAATATGCATTATTTAATTTGCTCTTGCTCTCTTTTTCCCTCTTTGGCTGGGTGCACACATGGAGTTGAATTTGCATGAGCTGAAGGTATATGCTTCCTCTCTCCTGAATGGCCAGACCACACAGAGGAATGCCGGGAGCTGAGGCTGCAGTGGGTCCAAGGTCACACCTAGAATTTGCCTCTCATGCCCCAGACAAGGGGTCTGACCCCCTACATCTCCCTGCCATATAGGCCTGTAGCACAGAGATAGTTGAGCACCAGCTAGAGAATGAAGGAGACCAGACACAAGGTCAGACACAAAGTCGGGGGGGTGGGGGGACTGACGTGATAAACCTCCCAATAGTTATTTGTAGACGGTGGCTCCTTAGGATTTCTGTGCCCATCACCGAGAAGGGCTCTAAGAAAAGGGAAGGCTTTCTAGATATAGTTGGAGAAAGAAGACATGGTGTCTCATACACAATAGGTGCTCCATAAATGTGTATTAGACAAATGCATACAAAAAAAGTTATATCTGGCCCTAGCCGGCTTGGCTCAGTGGATAGAGCAGCCGTGGGCAAACTACAGCCCGCGGGCCAGATCCGGCCCGTTTGAAATGAATAAAACTATTGAAAAAAAAGACCGTACCCTTTTATGTAATGATGTTTACTTTGAATTTATATTAGTTCACACAAACACTCCATCCATGCTTTTGTTCCGGCACTCCAGTCCAATTTAATAACCCATTGTGGCCCTCGAGTCAAAAAGTTTGCCCACCCCTGGGTTAGAGCGTCAGCCTGCGGACCGAAGGGTCCCGGGTTCGATTCTGGCCAAGGGCACATGCCTGGGTTGCGGGCTCAATCCCCAGTAGGGGGCGTGCAGGAGGCAGCCAATCAATGATTCTCTCTCATCATTGATGTTTCTCTCTCTCCCCTCTCCCTTCCTCTCTGAAATTAATAAAGAAATATATATATATTTTAAAAAAAGGTATATCTGGGAAGTGGATACCATATGGTGGTCTAGAGAAAGCAGAGGTTTTGGAACCAGCGGACATAGGGTGAAGGCTCAGCTCTGCTACTTCTCTGAGCCTCTGTTTACTCATCTGTGAAATGGGGATAGTATTGTCCATCCACCTCAGAGCATTGTTGGGAGGTTAAAGGCATTACGTGTAAACTTCCTCAGACGCGGTGAGCAGTCGGTAAATAGAGTCTGTCCTGAATGAGGGAGCCAGGCAAGAAGGGGCTCAGCTGGGAGGCTGGTGAGGAAGCTCCAGGCTGCGCGTGGTCAGGAAAGACTCTGGAAGGAGGGGCTTGCACTCCCCTTAAGCAAAGGCAGGGTTCGAGGGGAGGAGGGAGGACAGTCCATCTTGTGTGGGTCTGGGACTGACTCTTTGGTGACAGGCTGAAACTGAGCGAACAGGAGAAAGATCCAGGATGCCGTGGCATGTGTGTGTGCTGAGGAGATGGGGAGGTGGTCACCCAGGATTGGGCCAAGAGGTTGGAAGGAAGGTTCCAGATTAGAGCAACTGGAGCTCACTTGTCATTCAGCAGACACCACTGAGCACTGCATGCCTGTGTGCATGCCACTGAGCGCAGGCGCTTCACTGGTACCTGAGTGCGAGGTATCGGGAGAAGCCCACCCAGCCGATCTTCAGACTGCGGCTGGGCTGTCCTCCTGGCGAGTTTGCTGGGACCCAGACTCCAGGAGGAGGGGAGAGACCACATAAGTTGTTAAAAATTATTTAGGAAGTGAAAGTTGAATTATGCTGGTGATGTTACTGCGTGTGAGGCTTCTAGAGCAAGTTCCATCTTTCTCAGTTGTCTGTCTCGGTGCCTCTGAAAGCCCAGAGAGTGAGGTGTGAGTGTGTGTTTTCACGTGGCTGTGGTCTGACGATGAAGCAGATGGTTTGCCACAGGACCTCCATGTGACTTGACCACTTAGATTTGTATTTAAAGAGCATCCCATATAACCCAGGTGTGTTTTCCCAGCTGTTGTGGTATATAGATAATTTTTTGAATGGACACATTGAAATGATAGAGGGAGGTGGGTCATTCTGAGTGAGTCCAAGTCCCACATCGGAAATGGTGGAGATGACCCTGGAGAAGGAGGGCCGGGCAGAACCCAAGACCAGGATTTGAGTGACTGAACGAGCTGGTGACATCAGGCTAAAGAGCTGAACTTGGCAGCTGCCTGCCACTGGTAGGATGTGACTTCTGGATGCTGTGGTCAGCATTGGAGGGTTGCCGACAAGGACGGGGACCCTGGGACCCCCAGGAACAGGCTTTTTTCCACAAAGACCATCTCCAGGTGATCTGTGGTTGTCCGGGAAGGAGAAAAACAGCATCCTAGACTGTAACACTGGAAATTGCTTGTCTTCTACTCCCACTTTCCACCCAGTGCATCAACGCTGCCTGCCTGCTGAGGACAGCGGGAGGCATTTCTGCAAGGAGGCGTGGGAGAGAGCGGCAGCCTTAAGGCCTCAGCCAACAAGAGATTCTCTCTCCTCACCTTCATCTCATGCGCCCCCACAGCTGGGGTGGGGCTAGGAGCCATTTGGTCAGAAGGTTCTCACTCCAACCAGAGCAGATGGGATTTTTATGCTCCCCTTGGAGAGCAGAACATCTGTGGTTCAGTCATTCAAGAGAGTGTCTTCTCACTCATGATGAATCAGGCCAAAGGGTTGGGCCCAGGGTGCTTGGACAGACTTACCCCAGAACCCCTGAGATACTCATAGAAAGAGGCAAAGCGGTGCTGACCCTCCTCTGAGGACCAATCAGCGGGGAGCTTGCAGCTGAGGCCCTGGGCCATGTTGATGGGTCTGGAGGCTGCAGGAGGGAGGGACCCAGTGATCCCTCCAGTCGCTAACTTTGCCCTCTCACTCAGCCTCGGGCTGAAGAGGAGCCAAAGATACAGTGTGTAGAGATTCGCACTGAGCCGTCCCAGGGAGTGGAGCTCGAGGCTCCTGGGCCCCCAGCTCCCCTGGGACTGAGGTGCTAATGAAACAGCTCCTGACCCTGACCTTGGAGTCCCAGCCATTGACGTCAGCAAAGATGAAATAAGTAACCTGACTCTCCCCCTAGTGTGTGTGTGGGGAGCAGGGGGGATAGTCAGGGACATGGGGAGAGGAAGGAGTGGCCAGAAGTCAGGGCCAACCAAGCTTAGGCCAGGGAGAGACGGTGGAGTGGCCCCTGGCATCGGTGACACAGGAGAACCCGGTGGTGGGGTGCTTCCAGCCGGTGGGATGTGCTATCTGAGCGAGTGGCCCAAATCCTTTCTGAAAGCAGTTATCCGGCACTATAGCCACTATCAGGTAAGACCAGGAGCCGACACTGCCGTGGTCACCCTGGACACTGAGCTGCAGCCCCGCTGTCACGGGACGTATCGCTGTCATATATGTGCAGATGCGTGTGCACCCACCTGGGGTGAGGCTTGGCCTGCACATCTGGATGTGCAGAGTACTCCTGTGGCCACGCCTGGGTGGTCTGCACAGGTGTGAGGTGTTGGGGTTAGAGGGCCAGCCTGGCCTGCAGCTTTCCTCCTTTCCTCACAGCCCCAGACCTGAGCTGATGCTGAGGAGGCCCCTAGTGGTGGTCTCCCCCTCCCTGGGATCTGCACTGGGGGTGCTGGGCCTGCAGCTGTAATTCTGCTCTTGGGTTTTCCAGGTGGATTTTCTGATTGAAAATGACGCCGAGAAGGACTATCTCTATGACGTGCTGCGGATGTATCACCAGTAAGTGTGCTGAGTCTAGCTCCTGCGGGCCACCTGGGGACCTCTGTCTGCAGGGAGCCCTGGGATGGGTCCTTTTATGACAGGAGGACCGCCCCTCCCATGCTGGGGAGCTTGGGGGTGGAGCAGGTGCTGGGAACGAAATGGACACATCATTCAGGTGTCTCAGCAAATATTTGCACAAACACTCTGTGCACGGCTCTGTACTAGGGGCTGGGGCATAGGTGTGAGCATGCCCGACGGGTCGCTGCCCTCAGCTTGCTCACAATGTGATGGGGAGGGGACATCAAGTAGCCGGATAGGCTCCATAGAGTGTGCCTGCTGGAATAGGACAGGACATGCCAGCTGGCCCCAGCACCTGCGCCAGATGTCTCTTATGACCCACCTGCTTTTTGACTCACTCAGCATACATTCATAAGCTCCTGCCACTTGCTGGGCACCATGCAGAATCCAGTAACGAATAAGATCAACTTTCTTTCCTCAGCTAGCTCATGGCCTAGAGAGGGGAGGTGGACACACACTACAAATGCAAAAAAAACCTCTAATATAAGTTATAGTAAAAGAAGTTCTGAATATAATTAAAAGCAGTAGAAAAAAATTAAAAGCAGGATGTGAAGAAAGGGAGTTTTCCTTTCTAACCACAGGGGAAAGGACCGAAAAGGCTTTAGCGTGGGTTTGAAGGGTAAGAAGGATTTTGGTAGGTGGGAATACCAGGGAACGACATTCCAGGGTGAAGGAACAGCGTTAGCAGACCGAGATGAAGTTGTGAAAGCACAGGTGTGGCTGGGAAGTGACAAGTGATCTGGGGGAATAGAGCCCAGGGTTCGTGGAGACCTTAGACAGCCAAACCTGGAGCAAGTCCCTGGAGAAGGCCAGGGAGGCCCTGAGGCTGCCGGGGAGAATGGAGTGTGTCCTCTGGGCAGGGGGGAGCCATTGAAGCGTTTTGAGGAGTGACTTACATTTAGAAAAGACTAGATGAGAGTGAGCAAGTTGGCAGGCAGCTGGAGAGAGGCAGGCCAGAGACACTGAGGCCTGAACAGTGTGAAGAGGAGGCGAGTGAGAGGTATTGTGGAGGCAGAATTTACAGAGTTTAGCTACAGGTTAGAAGTGGGAGACCGGGGGAGGGGAGGGGCAGGAGGGGTCAGTGCCATCTCACAGGAGGTTTCCTGTCTGGAGAGATCCTGGGCTTCAGAACTGGGCAGAGTGGAGTTTGAATCCTGACTTGATTTCATTTGCAAAATGGGTTCCTAACCCCTACCTCCCGGGTTTCCTGGCGATGCTGATATGAGAGAACAAAGTTCTTCTGAGACAGCTTGCCCAGAGGTAGGGCTCTGGCTTTTCCGGATTCTCAATTCCAAGGCCTGGGCCCAGTGGGTGGGGACCCAGTCCAGGACTGCTTTCTCTGGGAATCCGTGGGTCTCAGAGGTCATGGTTCTGGGTGAGACTCCAGGTCCCCCTTGTCTCTGCAGGACCATGGATGTGGCTGTGCTTGTGGGAGACCTGAAGCTGGTCATCAATGAGCCCAGCCGCCTGCCGCTGTTTGACGCCATCAGACCCCTGATCCCGCTGAAGCACCAGGTGGAGTACGACCAGCTGACCCCCCGGCGCTCCAGGTACGAAGGGAGCCCCCTGACTAGAGGCACGGCTGGGCGAAGCCACCCTGGGATGGACAGGGTCCCTCACTAGTGGATGGGGTAGCACTGGTGGTCAGGCCAAAGCTGGACCATCACCCACCTCTCCGATGGCAGGAAGCTGAAAGAGGTGCGTCTGGACCGTCTGCACCCCGAAGGCCTGGGCCTCAGCGTGCGTGGCGGCCTCGAGTTCGGCTGTGGGCTCTTCATCTCCCACCTCATCAAAGGTGGCCAGGCAGACAGCGTCGGGCTGCAGGTGAGCGGGCAGAATCCTCAGGCTTCCTGCCTCCCCCACTCACTTGCTGGGCTGCATGGCATAACATGGTCACTCACCTCTCTGAGACTTTGGGAGAGGAAGACGCTGCCCCATCCTGATAGATTTCCCTCAGGCTGCAGGCAATCGCCTGTTTTATTGAGTCCCATTGGGAGCATGGCTCCCCCTGATGCTGCTGCAGCTGCTGCTGCTCTTCCCCCCACCTCCCCTACTTCCTAGTTATGTCCTGACACCTGAAGCTTTGGGCATGTAGCCTTTTACTGGAAGGTAAAAGGAAATCCGATGTACTATCCTAACTGTCCTGGCTTTGTAGCCGTGTGACTGCTGAAAACACTTAACCCCATGCCTCAGTTTCCTCATCTGTAAAATGGGAATGATGATGATGATGATGATGATGATGATGATGATGATGATACTATCCACCTCATCAGGTTGTTAAGAGGAGAATTCATATTATGAAGTACTTATAACAGTGCCTGGCACAAGTGCTCCTGTGCTTGTTAGGTAAGCAGAGAGGGAGATTGAATAAACACCAAGGATGTGCCAGGTAACACGCTCACAACCAGCTCTCGTTGTATGCCTTGGCTGTATCATCCCATTTCCAGAGCTGATAGCGACTCAGTCTTGACTAGTGTCACAGCCAGCAAGTGGCAGAGCCAGGATTTGAACCCAGGTCTCCTGACTGCCAAGCCCAGGGATCTCTCTTCAGCACCCCAGGTGCCCCTCCCCCGGGGTCCCTGCACCTCAGTGTCTGAGCAAAGATGGGCAGACCTCCAGGTCTCACTCCTGCCGGAGCCCAGAGCTGTGTTTTTGTATGTCCAGATAAAAGAGGCCCTCCCACTCCCGCCCAGAGCTTCCAGCATGTTTGTTATCAACACCCCAGTCCGGGCTGCCAAGCCAGGGCTTTAGGGGCCTGAGGGGAAGGGTACCAGACACCGTGGAGTGGGAGGTGGAAACTGGGAGCTGACAGACACCGCTTTGTTCTAAATCCCTGTCTCACGGCTCGCCGGTGGCGTCTGAAATTTCAGCCGCTTCATTACTCCTCCCGTGCGCACATTTTCCAGCCCAGAAATGCGGCCAGAGAGAAAGCACAATGAGCTCCTCTCCGGGCGTCAGCGGAGGCCCCCTTTTTTTCCAGGGCGAGCTCTCCTTCTAGGACAAGCACTTCTCAGCGATGCCTCCATGCCTGGGGGCTTTGGGCCATTTTAATGAAACAGTTTTATCTTCCCGCCTGTTTCTCAGGCTTATGCATTATCGACCCTTTCTCGGGCTGGCGGGCTCATCTCTCCTTTGTGCCGCTGCCCCTCAGATCGTCATTTCACTGTGGCGCTGGCACAAAGGGCCTTTTGCAGGGCTACGCTCGCAGCAAGAGGAGGAGGAAAGCTGATCCAGCAACCTGAGCCGGGGGCTGCGTGGGAATCGTTCTGCCTGGGGTCCTGGGCAGGTTCCCTTTAGGAACAAGACCGGGAACTTCACTCAGGGGAGCATCCATTCACCTGTCTGGGCTCATGTTTCTGGGGAGATCTTCTGCCTGGATGTGGCTGGAGGAAGATTCTGGAAGGCAGGGGAGGGGCATGTTCAGGCACAGCCTGGCTGGACTGAAGGTCCTGTTGATCTGACCTGTGAGGCTGGGCCCCCGGGTTGGGGGGCTTGGACCCACCCATAGGACCTAGCCCTGGAACCTCATCTCTCTGCTCATATCACCCCTATTGGAGATGTTTTAGTGTGTGTTTTTTAAAGTGTATGGTGTCCGAACCTACATCCTTTGCCCTGCACAGGGCGGTCTGTGCTGCCCAACCTGCTGTATGGTCCAGGGCTGGAGAATGATTCTGCGTGCATGGAGGGCCCAGCCATAAAGTGGACAGAGCAATCCCTGCCTTTCCTGTGGGACTTGAGGGCTCTGATAGGTGGCAAGGATCCAAAGAGGGCAAGACACAGGGAACTGCAGCCAGGCTTGGCCAGGGGCCCTGCTTTTCCGTTTCCAAACGCCCACAAGCCAACGCTTGTGGTCTGTCGTGGAAACCTGACTTCAAATCCCAGCAACACTGTCTGCTGGCTGGGTGACATTAAGCAAGCGGCTTCACCTCTCTGCGCCTGTTTCCTCATCTGGTTAACAGAGATGCAGAGTTGTAAAAAGTCAGTGCAGGGGCTAGTAACGGTTCTCCTTACAGGAGATGGCCCCAGAAACCTAGACAGTTCTGCAGTGAGTCCCTCCCCGTGGCACCTTTTGAACCCCGTGCCACTCTTGTCAGTCCCCTAAGAAGATTAGGGGGTGTGTCCAGGTGTGGAAGGAAAGTGTTCAGGTGGCAACAATGAGAGGGTGACTGCCACTGTGCTGTAGAAGGTAGGAGTTGACACTCCCTCCTGGACTGTCTGCCTGCCCAGCCCCTAGGCCCCACTCAGAGTCAACATGTACCCACTAGTCTCCAAAGGGTCAGCACATGTGGTGTGAGCTAAGCCCCTGCTGACCTGCGCTGGCCTTAGGCTAGAGAGGGGCATCCAGGATCCATCCCTGTTTTATAGCTAACTAGAGGCCCAGTGCATGAAATTCATGCATGGAGAAGGGGGTGTCCCTCAGCCCAGCCTGCACCCTCTCCAATCTGCGACCCCCTCAGACATCCCTCTCACAATCTGGGACTGCTGGCTCCTAACTGCTCACCTGCCTGCCTGCCTACCTGATCGCCCCTAACTTCCCTCCCCTGCCAGCCTGATCTGCCCTAACCACCTCTGCCTCGGCCCCTGCCACCATGGCTTTGTCTGGAAGGATGCCGGAAGACGCCTGGTCTAATTAGCATATTACCCTTTTATTAGTATAGACGGCTGTGTGACCTTTGACAAAACATCACCTCCCTGGACTTCAGTTTCTACTGATGTATGAGGTTCCTTCCAGCCCTGCAATTATTAAATGAGGAATTTCAAGCCTGATCCCCAGGCCAAGGTACTTGGAGGAGCCCAAGGCAGTGTCCACTAGGGGGCAGTCTCACCACCGATCCGTATCCAGGCTGGCCCGCCAGGCCCAAGTGCCCCCTATCTGTCCCTGTATAAGGAGGGCTAAGTCCTGAGAAGAGGGATCTGATCAGAATATTTAGAGCTCAGGTTCAATGAAAAATAGAAATAACAACCATGTATTTATTATTTGAGGTCAGACACTGGCTGACTTTATATGTACACACTCACTTAATTTTCATAGCAACCACATTTCCCCATTTTACAGGTGAGGGAAACAGGTTCAGGAAGTTCAATAGACATGCCCAAGGTCACACAGCTAATAAGAGTAAGAGCAGGGGTTTGAACACAGGCCATCCAATGCCAAAGCCTTTTGTTCATTTGCTGTTCTTTGCTCACACCCAGAATGGGAATTCAGAGTCAGATTAAATGTCCATTGAATTTCCATAGTGTGGAAAAAAAGGGAGTGTGTGTGTGTGTGTGTGTGTGTGTGTGTGTGTGTGTGTGTAAGAGAGAGAGAGAGAGAGAGAGAGAGAGAGAGAGAGATGTGCGCTTGGGCCAGGAGCCCTAGAAGTTCCCCACCCCAACTCTGTTATGGTGTTGCAGGGAAGCCTGCCCCTTGGGGTGAGGTGGGAAGAGCTGCTTGAATCTGTGTGAAGGGTCACCCTCTGCATGGATTCTGGAACCTGTTGGTACCCCAATGGGGTGAAAGGGACGCCAGAGTTAGGTTACAGAGCCTTGTATTCTATTCCCAGCGCCACTACCCATTCTCTGTGCCCTTCCCCTACCATTTTAGGCTCTCCATCTGTGAAACAGGGCAGCAGAAAGACTCCTGGGAAGTGCCACTGTCCTGGGGTCTGTCAGGCTGTTGGAGGATGGGTTGGTTGTGACAAGGTACTAGGGCACATAGTTAGGCCATCGTCCCCTTTCCTGGAGAGCAGGCCCGGGGCATCTGGTAGTGAACCCGCCCGGCCACCCGATGCTCCCTCAACCTGTGCCTCTTCCCTCTGTGTGTGGCCAAGGTAGGGGACGAGATCGTCCGGATCAATGGGTACTCCATCTCCTCCTGCACCCATGAGGAGGTCATCAACCTCATCCGCACCAAGAAGACTGTGTCCATCAAAGTGAGACGTGAGTGAGGCCAGAGGGCAGGGGAGGGGGGATAGAAGGGTGGGGAGGTGCTAATGGTGGAGGAGGGTGGTAGGCAACAGGGAATCAGCTCCTGGGGCAGGAAGGGAGGGCAGAGGAGCCGCCCTAACCCCAGTGCCTTTCTCCCACAGACATCGGCCTGATCCCCGTGAAGAGGTGAGCAGGACCCTCCTCTGAGGCAGACTCTTCCCTGTGGGCTCAGGGTCCTGGGGTTTGGCTTCCCACAGGCCAGCACTGCCCCTGGGCCAGTGATGACTGGGGGCTCCAGATGGGGCAGATCTGGACTTAGGGCCTGGTCTCTCCAACATCTCTAATGACCCCCCTTCTCATTTCATTTCCCATCAGCTCTCCTGACGAGCCCCTCAAATGGCAGTATGTGGATCAGTTTGTGTCAGGATCTGAGGTAAGGGCCAGGACCACCAGTGATGGGGTCTGGATGGAATGGTCTTCAAGGAGGGGCAGTTGGTCCTGAAAGGGGCCTTGCTCTAGGGATGTGCCCTCAGGGGCTTCACACATGCCCCTGTGCATCCAGAAAGCCCCTGTGGGTGGTGGGCCCCCAGCCAAGCCCAGCAGGTATAGACCTCTCCCCCCAGGGACAGAATGGCCATCAGACTCACATGCGAATAGTAGTGCTTATGAGCTCAAATGGCCATTTTCACACATCTGACACCTAGTGACCCTTATTCTCTTTCCTCCAGGGCGGGCGGAACATTCTGGGCTCCCTAGGGAATCGAGAAAACAGGGAGAAGAAGGTCTTCATCAGCCTGGTGGGCTCCCGGGGCCTTGGCTGCAGGTGGGTAGCAGGCATGCCCTGGGGCTCCCTCATGACCAGCAGACCCCAGGAGGACCCTAATGCCTCTCCCTTTTCTCACTGCTGCTTCTGAGGAAACTTTTACCCACTGTTGATGACACTTCTTGGTGCCTGGTTTCCCCTCTGAGTTTCACAACAGGCCTGCAAGGTCAGGAGGACAGCTCTTAACAGGCCCATTTTACAGATGAGGAAACTGAGGCCCAAAGAGGAACCATGTTCCTCTGGTGGGACCTCAAGCCACTGTAAAGGCCTCTGTCCTGCTGATCATCTCTGTCACTGTTCCCTTGTTACCTGTTGCCTTGTGGGTTTCCTTAAGGGGCAGCCAGGGGATTGCAAATAGGAATTAGATCACACCACGTACTCTTGATAAGCACACAGGGCTAGGGGTCAGCCCCTTCTCTGCCACCTACGAGCTCCAGAACCTGGACTAGCTACGTAACCACTCTGAAGCTCAGCTTTTCCCTCTATAAGCTGGGGGTAATAATATCCACATTGTGAGGAGGAATGAGATGACAGAAGTATCAAGCTTAGTGCCTGGCAAGTAGTAAGCAGTTGGTAAACATTAGCTATTATTATTTAAGTCATTCTTATTGTTTCCATTCATTCACACTTATTCAATACTTTCCTGCCAAGTTTACGTAATAAAAAGCCCCTCCTTTCTCAGAGATTGCAGCCTAATATCGAATCCAGCCACATAAACAGTTACAGTAATGAACGACAAGGTTGCTAATGGAGCTGCATTCTGCATCATGGATGGCAAACAGGTTTCCAATCCTGTGCTATCTCTAATCAATTAGTAGTGGCTGCATGGTGTACTGTTTTGAAAAGAACTCTAAGGTTGCATCCAGGCTTGGTGGGAAAGAGTGCTGTGATTGATTAGTGACCAGTCTAGATGGGGAGAACAGTAGTACAAATGCTTCCCTTGCTGTAGGTGTTTTAGGAGCACTGAGAAGAGAGCAACTATCTTAATCTTAGGATAGAAGAGGAGTTCCATTAAAACCTTGTAGAGATGATAGCATTTGAGCCTTAAGGAATGAATAGGAAAGTGCTAGAAAAAGAAATATGGGTGAGGGATTGGGTGGGGGGCAGGGGTTACAAGTAGTTGTCTGTGGCTCTTGCCACAGGTAGACAGTGAAGAGCCTTGGGTACTGAGCTCATGGGTGACCTGTTTCCTGAGGGACCAGAGCCTGGAGACACAGGCAGAGGGAGCAAGGCCTTGAGAATGAGCGAGCGCTGGAGGCAGAGGCTCACCTGCATTTCCCATCTCTTCCACAGCATTTCCAGCGGCCCCACCCAGAAACCAGGCATCTTCATCAGTAACGTGAAGCCTGGCTCCCTGTCTGCCGAGGTGGGGTTGGAGGTGAGTGAGCCCGGGCCAGGGTCAGACTGTGACCGCACAGTGATGGAGGTACACGTCTTCCCACATAGCCCTCTCTCGGCAGTCACTGGCTGATGATTCCTTCCCACGCCCTAAGGGAAGCGTCACAGAGGGGGTGGCATTTGACCCTTTCTACAGTCTTCTCCAGCTCTGAGAGCCTTTATTCCTGAGCTTGAGACTGCAGTAACAATGATCATTGAGTGTTTACTGGATCAGACAGTGTTCTAAGCCCTTTAAATTCAATAGAACTCTGAGAATTGGGTACTGTCATTATCCCCATTTTACAAATGAGGAAACTGAGACCCAGAGAAAGTATGTGACTTTTCCAAGATCGGCTACCTAGGATGGTAGAGCTGTGATTCAACCCGAGGTGGTCTGATTACAGAGCCAGAACTTGTCACCTCTACTTTGGCATATTCCTTCCTCTTTTTGTGCGTCAGAATTCTCTCCTATAATATGGGGTGATGGCCTTCCTTCTAGAGTCATTGTGTGAGTTAAATGAATCAATACACATGCTGAGAACTGGCATGTAGTAAGGGACCGCTGAATGCTAGCTACCAGTGATGACTCAGCACAGCCTCTGCTATATGAGAAGTCCACGGGCTCCTAGGTCTACATTCTGAGTGTTTAAAGCAAAGGTCGTACATTCAGCCAAAGGAATGACCCTCTAACAAGATAATACTTGGCAGCTGCTGAAAGACATGAGGCAGAGGGACCCTGAGAGGCCTCCATCAGAGCTTTCCAACGCTCTGCTCATGAAGGAGAGCTGAGGTGCAGTCACTTGAAAACCCAGCATCTGCCCTTGAGCCCCAGGATGAGCCTTTCCTTCAGATAAGTGAGTTTACAGATAGTGCAGACACGCTGATGCCTCTCCATTTCTCCACCAGGCAGGGGACCAGATTGTCGAAGTCAACGGCATCGACTTCTCCAACCTGGACCACAAGGAGGTGAGACCTACTGGCTGTTACACCTCTGCCCTCCACATCTCACCCCTCCCCCTGCCATGGTGTCTGAAACCTGTGCTCTCTAGAGGCCTGGGCTGCTCTGGTCTGTCAGGCCTCAGCTGACTGCCCACCTGTCCCCACAGGCCGTGAACGTGCTGAAGAGTAGCCGCAGCCTGACCATCTCCATCGTAGCTGGAGCTGTAAGTCCAGAGTGAGCTGCTGGGCCTCCATGACCCCTGACCTCCAGGCTCAGCCACTCAGAGCCCTGAGGTCTGCCACACGCTCCCGAGAAGGGCCAAGGGTGTCTCCGTCCCTGAAGCTCTGACAGAGCAGAGGGAGAGGGTCTCTGTCCAGCCAGGGCACATGTGGGTCAGAGACAGCAGGAACCACAGTGCCTGACACTGGGGTCACGGTGCTGAGAAGACAGCCTTCATCTGGGCCCCCAAGGCCATGGCAGTGGGAGCCCAGGTTTCCCAGAGGACTGAGCCTGGGGCCTCTTTTCTCCCCACGAGGGCCGGGAGCTGTTCATGACGGATCGGGAGCGGCTGGAAGAGGTGAGGCAGCGCGAGCTGCAGCGGCAGGAGCTCCTCATGCAGAAGCGGCTGGCAATGGAGTCCAACAAGATCCTGCAAGAGCAGCGGGAGATGGAGCAGCAGTGAGTGTGGCCAGTTAGGACGCCCCTTCCCTATCCTCTCAGACCACATCCACCTTGCTTCCTGCCCACTGTGTCCTGAGCCAACCTCATCCTCTCCTCTGAAGGCCTGTCCTCAGACCAGATGTGTCTAGTGGTGGTCAGCATAAGCATCCCCTGCCTCCAGGCCACCAGGCTCCTCCCTGCTTGCCAAAGAGAGCCCCTGATTTCCAAGACCCAGGAATATGGGGATGCAGTAGCTAACGTCTGTCGAGTACCATCCATGTATTATATATAATACAGTTGGTGCTATATTATAGCCTCATGTATGTTACTGAATGTCATTTTCACAATAGCCCTGTGAGATGGGTGGTATTAACCCATTTTACAGGTGAGGAGACTGAGACCCAGAGAGGGTAAGCCACTTGTGTGCAAAGTCACATGTGGCCAACCGGGGGTTCACAACAGGCAGCCTAGCTGCCCTGTCTGCGGTGATAAGTCCCGCCCCCACATGGGATGGTTGAGATGATGGGTTGAGAGAATAAACGGGGCAAGCAATTCATAGATCAAAAACAATGTCAAAATCTAAATCCAGTACATTCTAGGAGCTTTATAAGAATTTGGAAAGGGATTTTCCCATCTCTCCCATCACAGATTTAGCCTGAAAAACTAACCCTGCTGGTACCTCTGCCCACAGCCCTGGTCTTGGGTAGTCACCCAGCTTTGCCCCTGGGGTCTGGGGCCTCTTCCAGGAGAACCTCCCTCAGGCCAGGCCCTGCCTATCATCAGTCACTGTATCTAAGAGTTTGGAGGTGGGTGCACAGTGTGGCCCACTCTGACCTGCACCCCGGCTCCGGCAGCACAGAATCTCTGCTTAGTGGTGCCAAACAAAACCCCACAGAGTACACGACCAGCATCCAAAGCTGGCCCAGGCACCCTTGGAGGGGAACCTGAAAGAAATAGAACTTTTTCCAAGTCAGGAGTTAGCTACAAAGAAGAGTGAACTCCCCTTGCACAGACTTCAGCATGCCAATCTGCATTCGTGTTTCAGAAGGAAAAAGGAAATTGCCCAGAAGGCAGCAGAGGAAAACGAGAGATACCGGAAGGAGATGGAACAGTGAGTGCCTCCGCCCCATGCATCCGCACCGTGTCTGTGTGTGGACGTGAGTGTGCTCTCGGAGGGTAGCCAGCCAGAGGCCACCTCCAGGACCAGTTTACCTGGCCCTCTTGTCCCTGGTGGATCCTCCTTTATTTTTAGCCATTCCATAATCCTAGTACCGTAAAGCCATCTCATTCCAGTAACTAGAACATGATCTTACATAATTGCCAGGGTAGCATTCACACTCGATTTAGAATGTGAGAGCCAAGGACTCTGTAGTCTTCACCACAGCTAGAATCCATGGTCTCTCCCCAGGCTGGTTGAGGTTTCCCTACAGCAGGGGTGGGGAACCTTTTTTTTTTAACATTTTTTTATTGATTTCAGAGAGGAAGGGAGAGAGAGATAGAAACATCAATGATGAGAATCATTGATCGGCTGCCTCCTGCACACCCCCTACTGGGGATCGAGCCCGCAACCCAGCGAGTGCCCTTGACTGGAATCAAAGCCAGGACCCCTCAATCCGCAGGCTGATGCTCTACCCACTGAGCCAAATTGGGGTGGGGAACCTTTTTTCTGCCAAGGGCCATTTGGATATTTATAACATCATTCAAGGGACATACAGAATTATCAACTTAAAAATTAGCCCGCTATATTTGGTCATTTAATTAATTCACCCCTAATGCCTTGGCAGGGCCAGACCAAACGATTTCCCCGCCTCTGACCTATAGGCAGAAGCTGGGCCCGTGAAGGTTCTGACTCTAATCACAGGCATGGGGTCTTATTTCAGGATCGTGGAGGAGGAAGAGAAGTTCCAGAAGCAGTGGGAAGAAGACTGGGGCTCCAGGGAACAGCTGCTCTCGTCTAAGACCATCAGCGCCGAGATGCACCCCGTGCCCCTTCGCAAGCCAAAGTGTACGTATCATGTGCTGGTGGGTGGGGAGAGAGCTTCCTTCTGGGGCCAGGAGGCTGGGGGATGGTCCAGGATGAGATACTGGTCCCTCTTCACTCACCACCACCTCCCCAGGTGAATCACCCTGGCTGTCTGGGCTGCATGTGCTTCACAGAGGGGCAGCCATGTGCCAGGGCCTATCTGCCAGGGCATTGGGGTGGGAAGGATCTGTCTTCCCACCTTGTCCTCGAGGCCTGCTGCCAGGCTCTCCCCCACAACACAGACACAGGCAGCTGGACCCTCCCCGTGCCCGTGGGCTGCTGAAGAGGGATTGGAGAGCTGTAGGGAAAGTGAACTGCTTATGGGATTATCTTAGTTTGTTGGGTGTTGTATCTTCTTCCTGCTTGGGTCTGAATTGGTGCTGGGATGAAAGAGCAGCAGGAAAGGGGGCAAGGGTCTCACATGAGAGAAGACTCTGGTAGTCCAAGCTTGATGGGCAACTGTGGGAGGAGCTTCCCTGAAGTGACCCTGCCACCTGCATCCTTGTGCATTGGACCCTGCGAGGTCCCTGCACTCCAAGGATGGAATCAGGATGCCCAGGCACCAAACTGCGGCCATCCTGTGGCCTCGGGTCCTTCTGCCTTTATCTCCTTTCTTCATCTGTCCTATGTTATGATCCCCAGTTTTGGTCCAGGCCTCAACCAACTGCTCTCCTTTCCACTAGCTCTCAACCCCAACTCCCAGGAAGCCTCTTCAAGGGGCAGCTCACAGCACCAGCGCAAAGTGGGGGCTCACTCTCAGTGCTTTTTAAAAGGGCTCGTGGTGGGGAGCCAGGAGCAAGGCAGCGTGGGGGCCGTAGCAGCCACAAGTCCAGGATGCCTGGTTGGGCCTTTACTCTTTATAGCTGTTTTCATCATTGACATGGGGCAGGTTCCACTCCAGCTGACTGTGCTCAGCCGACCTGGGAACCTCCGGATGTGGGGTGAATCTGTATCCAAGGACCAAGGTTCCCCATTTCTGCTGTGTGGCAGCCATTTGGGATCTGTGATAGGGTCCGGACATCTCTGGCTCCAACTTTGAATTTTGCCCAAGCCCTAGAGGGACATGAACTGGGGTTGATGAAGAGGTTCAGAGCCGTCTGGATGGTTCCACCTCACCCTCCTTGGTGCAGGGCAAGCAGCTCCCACCCAGCCACTCCTTCCTGGCAGGGGGCACCGTGTCATCTCAGGGTCCTCTCGGAAGGACAAAGCACACTCTCATCAGCCTTCCCTGTGACATTCGGTATTAGTTGAGGATGAGGCCAGAGCTAAATTCCCGGTGAATAATCTGTGCTTTAGACAGGGAGTTAATTTGCTCTTAATGCGTGAAACAGGAGCTTCAGGAGAAGAGAAATCGATTTTAATTGCTTCTCCTGAGAGTAACCCTAGTCAATTTAGTACCTGCCTTGAAATTGGGTCTTGGCTTCAGAACAAACACACTCTCTCAGGAACTACAGAAAATGAAAACCCTTTCTGCAGCTAGCTATTTATTTCATGATTTTAAACGAAACCAAGCTTCTTGAAGAAAAGGAGAACTTTGTCCGAGATGTAAATGTTTTCTAAAGCAACATCGCGAAGCATGAGATTGATGACCGGAGTCCGCCAGCCTGAGCTGGGGCTGCTGCAGCTGCCGCCTCTATCCATCTCCATATGCACCAGCAATTAATTCTCATTTGGAGATAAGTCAGGAGATGCAGGAAGGCCTGGGAGCCGGCCCAGTGCCTGCCTTTCTCCGTATTCTTGCGAGGCTGGAATTGTCTCAGCCGTTTTGGGCCAGCAGGACCAGGCTGCGTTCAGGTCCTCCCTGACCCTCTTCAACTTGGGCCCAGTCAGCCAGCCCACAGGTTACACCTGACTCAGGTGTCTGTGCCTGATGAGGGGTGGACCCTGCATTTTTGAACCCTAAAAAGTGGGGATTATCTCTTGCCCAGAAAATGAGTCCACTCATCCTAATGATGTGGGTGGGACTGACTGATCCCCTCACCACCCCCTGTCCCAGGGGCTCACCCTGCCTACCCATGGCCAACCTGGCAGAACCCCAACATCCTGCCAGGCCCTCAAGTCCATGACACACTGTCATAGCACTCCCCAGAAGAACTTCCTTAGCTAAACCAACAAGGAGGAGGGATTTTAATCAAGAATCCCAGAGCTAGAAAAAGCCTGGAGAGGTGAAGAGGTTTAAACTAGGGATTTCCACCCTTCTCTTGCCATTACGGACCCCATCAATCAATTAGTCCCCACACCCAATAGGCCCCATGGTTTGGACGTTGAGTTGTTTTCCTACCAAACTATTAAGTAATCATGTGTGTCCCCATTGTTGGATTAGGTAGTCATTCTTGTTAGCAAGAAACAAACAGTGTTCCACTGTCGAGTAACCAGAAATCAAGCCAAAAGCAATGGCTCTTAACCTTTACCCTTTCATCGGTTATTGGGCAAGTTCTTCTAATTAATATTTGAAATATTAATAAAAAACTCACAGCAAATTTATATACTACCTTCTACCATCCCAGGGCGGCTGGAGTCCAGGTTGGAAACCACGGGAATGGGCGGTTTGCTATTCTCCACATTATGTCAAAATTCGTGTCTTCCTGACCATGTGTGCCCCTCTACCCTTGGGAATCTCCCCACCTCCTCAGGGTCCCCAGTCCGCCCACACAGCTCCAACAGTCCCTGGGGGACCCAGAGGTCTGCAGGTGGTAAGAAGCCAAGAGGATCTGTCCTCCCATTGTATGCTCTGGCACCAAACATGTATAATACTCAGGTATTCCCATCCTCTGTGCCACACCTCTGTGTCAGTTGGACGCCCCACAAAATGCTTCTCACTCTGCTGTCAGATCACAGGCCCGTGTTGTGAGCCCATTTTACAGACAGAGAAACTAAAGCTACCAAGGTTGAAAGCTCGACACGCGCCATCCCAAAGCGAGAAAGCTTTGCACTGGGCTCCTGAGCCCTGTTCCTGCCCCCGACCTCACAGCTCCCCTAGAGGAAGCTGGTCCCAGGCCCCCAGGCTCCTGGGAAGCGCCTCTGGCCTCTGGGTCTCCTGAATCCCTCTCGGTTCACCAGCTTCCCCCTGTTTTCCCGGGTAGATGATCAGAGAGTGGAGCCTAAGCTTGAGCCTGCCAACGACCGGGACAGAGGCACGGAGGAGCAGGGAGAGCAGGTTTGCGGCCCCCGCTTCGCTCCCTGGCCTTGCTGCTCTGCTTGCTCTGCCCACCTGCCCTGCCATCCCTGCGTCCGGCTTTGGGGGACCAGCATATGGTGGAGACCACTGGAGTCTGTGGACCTCCTCCCAGCGCTGGCTTGGTCCAAGCACTGCACACAAAACCTTGAGAACAAAGCCAGGCTGACATGTCGGCTGGTGCACACAGTACAACTGAACTGCTGGTTCAAATATTTTAAGTATGGCCAAGGCCAAGTTCTTCCTCGGGCCTCTCCCCAGGACACCCAGATCTCCCCAAGATCCGGCAACTAGAGGGTAGTGCTTGGTCCAGCAAGGGGCTTTCAAGATTCTCTTCTAGAGCCCATACTGGTCCAGAGTGAGTAATTATTTAAGCCTTCACCACTGGCCGGGGAGCTTCAGGTTTGCGGTATTGCCCAGCCATGCTGCTGCCTGAGGAAGGCAGGGGGCTGGTGCCCGGGTTGTCTGGCCTGGACGGGGATATGCTCTTTTGGAGGCCGATCTGCCTGCTGGCTGCCTGAGCCGTCCTTCCCAGAGCTGCCCCCAATCATCGCTTTCTCTTCCAACACTGAAAGTGGAGGATATGGCCTGGACTGTGGGACAAGACTGTTTTGTCCTGGCTGACAGCAGTTCTAGGCAGAGACCCAGGCTCCCTTTTGTCTCGAGCCATTTCTTGGATGGAGGGACCAGACGTCGGTCAGGAAAAGCGTCGTTACCTTTCAGCGGGGCTTTGTGTCTTGCAGGCAGTGGCTCTGAGTTGGAAAAGCTCATCCTCCCACCAGGGGCTTTCTCTTTGGTTTGTCTGGCACTGATTTCTAAAGCCAGAGGCAGCGGCAGGGGCCCGGGGCCTGGCAATCGGGGCCTTTCTCAGGTGGTCCTGGGCCTGCTTTACAGCCCAGGCGAGGCAGGGAAGTGGAGAGTCAGGCAGAGGGCGCCGTTCTGCTGCTGGACCAGCTGTGCTGCTCTTCGTCTCATGGGAACCCCCGCTCCCGGCCTCTGCCCTCGCTGGGTGCTGGCTGCGCGGAACTGTCTCACGGCTCCGTTCTCTGTGTTGTTACAGCCTTTGGGTGGTTTTATCGTTACGATGGCAAGTTCCCATCCATCCGGAAGGTAGGACAGGGCTGGGTGCTGTGCCGTTTGCCATTGAGTTTGCTGTGGGTTTTGGCCTTTTCCAAACATTGTTTTTTCCTGTCAATGCTCAACAGTGTGACCCAGACTGCTCGCTCGAGGGCTGTGCTTCTCTGTCAGGCTGTCATCAGAGGGCAGGGCCCTGTCACAGAGGCATCATGGGGTGGGGGGTGGGGGGGTTCTCGGGTGAAACCTGCCCAGGCACCATCAGGCACCACCTGGGTCAGCCCTCCTGGGCACAGGGCATCCGGGGCAGGGGCATGGCAGGAAGCTGCTGCTTTGTCGCTCTGTTAAGCAGACCCAGCGGCCAAGACCGGAAGCTGAGGACAGGCAGAGGGAAATGTCACAATGCAGATTATGAGGCCGACTGAGCCAGACACAGACCAGCTGCCGAGGCGGGAGTTTGCTGCCTCGGGTTGAGACAAAGAGCCACACCAATCATAACTCTCCCTAGAAATATCTCTGCACGTGCCCCGGATAATGCAGTTTTCTGGTCTCTGAGGCCTTAGATTTTCTCTCTAAACCTTATTACTATGTATCTCCAGGCCCCATAAACCTTTCTCATCCCTTTTCTTTCTAAATCACTTTGGCATTTCATTATGAAAATGCCGCTGTTAACATCTATAGATTGGACATTCAGGATGACTTGGCATTTGGGATCCAGGCATCAGCATAAATCTGGGTGAAGCAATGTAGGTGTCATCACTCGACCGGCTCTTTCTGGCGGGATGTCTGGCCTCCAGAAACCAAAGCCCTGGCCGCGGTGTGACCTTGGTCATATGTAGCTTCTCCCTGCCTGTACATGGGAATATCTAATGTGCTAGAAACATCTACCCCTTCCTCCAACACAGTACCGTTCAGATACGAAGACAGCACTATTATTCCTGATCGAGAGCGTCTTCCCTTAGGAGCACAGATCATGCTTTGTCTGACACTGAATAAGTCAGGACAGAGCCCCTTAGGGGACTCCTCTCCACACTGCGGTGGCCTCAGAAAGGACTTGGTCTCATCAAACTGTCCTTTCCATTTACAGGCTGACCCTGGCTTAGGATGCCTCATTGCATTACGTGTCGAATTCTTTCCTATATACGGTCTCTACTAGATTATAACTAGACACACACACACACACACACACACACACACACACTCACACACACACACACACACACACACACACACACACACAGGATTCTACTTGAAAAATGAATGACAGGAGATGGGTAGGTAAATCCTTCCCAGGCATTGATAACTCGGCAAATGTAAGAGAAGTGTGTGTGAGTCTCCTCCACACACACACACTTCCCCGCAGAGATCATGTCCCTTGAGAAGTGCTGTTGGTAAAGAAGTGGACCTGCTTCCCCCTACTCATTAGTTCAGTCATTCCAGAAATAGCTGGTATTTCGATTTCCATTTCATTTCCAAAAGAGAGGGAAATTGCTTCTTGGTAGCAGCAAGAACACATCCACCCCATCTGCCTCTCCTTAGTCCCGACTGAAAGGAATATTTGCCATGAATTTAACCGACAGCTAAAAGGACACCAGAATCGTGTTCCTCCTGCTGGCTCTGAAAATCCACAGCCACTTTCTCCAGGGCCACGTGAGATGCCGTGTCTCCCGGGAGCTGGAACACCCAGTGCCCAGGTAGTACATGTGGCTGTCTATGGCCATGACCATTGATGCACAACATCTCCCTTATTTGAAAAGCTAAAGGCTCCATGTCTCAATTCCTAACCTGGAAGTAATCCCTCTGGGGTTCAAAGCCCCCAGTCAGTGGCCCCACAGAGTCTATGCCAGGGCCTGAGGATGTGTGGTTCTGACTAGCCCTCTCACCAGGACTGCATGAGTGAATCATGAAGACCAGCCATACTTGCAGGGGCCCACCATCTGGCATGGAGGCAGACTCACATGCAACTGAGTACCCACCTGGAGCAGACTGTTCTGAGAGCCGTAGACAATGCTATGGGGCACCTTGCCCTTCTGCCTCCATAAGCAGGCGCTGCTTTCTTGGAGATGGGACAGAAACGGTCACATGTGCCTGCCCCAGCCAGGTGCCCTGGCTCCAAAACCGTAGCACTGGTGGGGTCTTTTAACCAACAGAAAGGCCATTCCTATCATAATGGTGCCTGTGGGAGGCCATTCCCTTCCTCTAGCAAGCTGCCTCCAGGCACAATGTTTCTGGCGCCTCCTGGGGATTTGCTGTCTGATAGCAGGGATTCATCTATCAAGTGAGCCAAGAGTCTAGTCAACAGGGTAGGCAAGGAACCAAGCAGGACTCTGTAGCAAAGAGAACCATTTTCTCAAGTGGCCCCTAGACTGTTCTGGGGTGGATCCCATCCCTCAGATGGGGGAGGGTGGGATCATCTCCAGAGCACAGTACACGCACCCAGAGGTGGGGGTTGTCTTTAGGGGGCAGGATGACTCAAGCATAAGTCCGTAATGGCACCTCCCCACCCAAGTCCTTCTAGCTGTTTACAATCGCTAGTCAACTCAAATCTTCATTCCTGGCCATCGATGCTGGAGTGACTCAGGAATTCTGAGAGCAGGCCCCAGGAAGGTTTGTTGGGGGTGGGGTGAGCTCACAGGTGGGTTTCCTCCTTCCTCAGACATTCCCCAGAATGTTGACTCCCTGCTGTCCCCTCCCCAGAGAGCTAGCTATATCCTCCAGGCCTGTGTGATGGAGTTGACACCTGCCATGCTCCCATTGCCCCCAGCTCATCTGGACACAGTAGAAACTTTGTGGGACCTGGAAGACTCAGGACCAAATCCTGGCACCACCACTTATTAGATGTTTGGTGTTGGGCAAGAGACTATATCATGTGGTGTCTACATATGAGACACCTTTCTCTCCAGATATTGGAGAAGGCATGTGCCCAGATACTAGGAAATAAATGCAATGCCTTTTATTTATACAGTACTTTCATGCTTATAAAGCACATTTATAGATGTTATTTCATTGGCTCTGGATGGCAAGCTTATGGGGCAGGTATTTCTTCCATTTTGGAGATGAGCTAATCAGGCCCAGAGAGGTTAAGAAACTTAGCCAAGGTCACACAGCCAGTTAGTGAATCAGTAAACCCATTCTTCTGGTAAAGGGATTGTGTCTCCTACTCTGCAGTGAGTAGCAGTGACCGCTTGTCATAAACCTGAGCTCCAATGCCCATGGGCAGAGCTGGGGGAGGGGCTCACCATGGGATGGTTGCCTGGTGTTGCTGAGGACTGAATGCCCTGTTTGTGGTGCTGTGCCAGTGTCAACACTACCTTGTAACCCTTGTCGTGTAAAAAATGCCACATCTGCTCAGAAAGGAAAGGATAAGAAAGCCAAGTATGACAGCCTGCAGGAGTTGAGAAAGAATAAGAAGGAACTGGAGTTTGAGCAAAAGCTTTACAAAGAAAAAGAGGAAATGCTGGAAAAGGAAAAGCAACTGAAGATCAACCGGCTGGCCCAGGAGGTAGGTGACCTGCTCAAAGGCCAGGTGAGCACCCCTGGGAGGCGGCTTGGTTGTCTCCCATCATGCCCCCAGGGAACCAGCCAGAGTTATTCTCCCAAATGGAGTCCAAAGGTGGAGTGAGCCCCGCCCCCTTCCTTAGTGTGGAGGGTGAGGTCATCCCGCCTGCCCAGGGTCATCTGAGACTAGCTTCTGGCTTAGATGTATGTTTGGGGTTGAGACTGGCCTCCTTGCTCGGGTGTGGGTCTGAAGCTAACCTCTCTGCTCAGATTGTAGGACTTAGGTCAGCCCTCCCCACACCTGGCCAGCGGTTGGGTCTGTGCCCTCCACCCCCACTGTATCAGACTATGAGTCCAAGACTCGGCCTCTCTGCCCCAGGTGTGGCTGTGAGTCAGAGGCTCACCCCTCTGCCTAAGACGTAGGTCGGAAGTTAGCCTCCCACCTGCCTGTCATTCCATCTGAATCAGTTTGCCCCCCTCCCCAGGTTACAAGTTCAAGACCAGGGTTTCCCAAAGTGCCTGGGCTCTGAGGGTATGAGTCTGAGGCTAACCACGTGCACAGGCAGGATATCTCAGGCTCTCCCTCAACTAATCAGGCTATGGGTCTGAGGCTGCTCCCTTCAGCAGAGCGTGAGTCTGAGGCTGGACCTCTTCAACCTGGGGATGTATCTAAGGCTGTTCCCTTCCAGACATGCCAAAGCAGTCTTCCAGCATGAGTAATTCTTACTTCCTAGGTGAGCTGGGTGACCTTCACTCCCTAGCTGTTTGAGATAGCATTGGTTCGGCTTCCTTTCATGCTTCCGTGACAGATGGCCAAGCTGATTGCATTACAAAACAAGGGAAGTCCTGGAGAATGTGAAGTGCATTAGGTCTGGCACTAGGAACAGATTAGCCACAAAATTAAAAAAATTGAACTTGTGCTTCTGAGGACAAGGCAGCCTGGAAGGGAAAAGAAATGTAAAGTTAAACGCTTGGAATGTGCGAGGAGCCTGCAATAGGGCCGTTGGTGGAGAATCCTAAGAACCTCAGGGTTCAGGGGCCAGCGAATCCCAGGCAATGCATGAGCCCCTTCTCTGACTGTTCCTACAAGTGGCGTTAGTCAAACCAACACCGCGACACCCTCCCCCCCCCCCCCCCCGCCTGTTTGCCCGTCTTCTGGGCCCACTGAAACAAGCTTGGGTCTTTTTCTAGACAGCTGACACACCAACAGTACTTTGGGGTTTTCTAAGAAACGCTTCGTGTGTGCCGCCCACGTGTGTGCCGCCACGTGTGTGCCGCCCACGTGTGACTCAAGTGCACCCTTTGTCCTCCCTCTCCTTTGTGCCTCGGCCTTGGGTCCCAGGTGTCCGAGACGGAGCGGGAAGACCTGGAGGAATCGGAGAAGATTCAGTATTGGGTGGAAAGGCTCTGTCAGACTCGCCTTGAGCAGATTTCCTCTGCTGATAATGAGATTTCGGAGGTAACAGAGCCCTTCTTTCCAAGCCCCTCCTCCTGCTGCCTTCCGAACGACCCGCCCTGGGGGCAGCGGGAGGCACGATGGCCACTGTCCAGCGCACTCCCCCTTCCTCTCTTGAGGAGGGAGAGCATAGCTGTTTTCCTGGGCTTGTCTCCAGAGTGACCACTAAGTCCCAGCTTGTCTGCGATGGTCCCAGCTAGGCCCCTTGTCCTGGTGTAACTACTAAGAGGGCCACGTTCACTGTCAAGCGCATTCCAGTTTAGAGGGTGAATTATATGGTCACCTTATTTGTCACCCACAAATGGCATAATGCGGGACCCTCTTGCATGTGGGCATTCCCTACCAGCTGTCCAGCATGAGCTCAGGTGGCACCCATGTGGCTCTGGTGTGAGGGTGGTAGGTCTCCAGCAGTAAGAGAAATCGATTAGAAGAGCCTTGTACTCAATGTCCTGTGAAGTGAAGCACTCCCCCCAAGACTACAGAACTTCCTTGCAACCCCCAGATGACCACGGGGCCCCCGCCTTCCATGTCTCCCCTGGCCCCACCCCTGAGACGCTTCGCTGGCGGGCTGCACCTCCACACCACTGACCTGGATGACATCTCTTTGGACATGTTCTACTACCCCCCCAAGATTCCCTCTGCCTTACCTGTGATGCCCCATCCTCCACCCTCCAACCCACCCTCCAAGGTCCCCGCAACCCCTGTCCTTCCGTCATCAGGCCGTGTGAGTGCCTCATCCTCACCCTGGGTGCAGCACACCCCACCCCCGATCCCCATCCCTCCCCCACCATCTATTCCCACCCAAGACCTCGCTCCTACCCGCCCACTGCCCTCTGCCCTGGAAGAGGCACTGGGCAACCACACGTTCCGCGCTGGGGACACAGGCAATCCTACAGAGGACTGGGAGGCAAAGAACCACAGCGGGAAGCCCGCCAATTCCCCTATCCCTGAACGGAGCTTCCCACCCACCCCAAAGGTACTGCCCCTGTTCTGCGTGCTACCCTGGGAAGCGGGTGGAGTGGGCGGGGCTGCTGTTTCCCGTGTCCTCCACTGCCGCTGGGAGCGGAGACGGGAGGAAACATCACCCCACCCCACTTTCCAGGAATGAGCTCCCAGCCTGCATGTTGTGCACACCCTGCATGTGGATGGTTTCTGCTGGTTTTGAAGTGTGTATTGTATGGGGAATGGCCTGTGGTACTTGGGATGAGCAACAGTGTATCGATGTTCGATGTTTGCAGTAGGCGCACAGTAAGTGCTCAGTAGACATTACTAACTGTGATTAGTGACAAATCAAGGTACAAGGAAATTTGGGTGAAGCTGCCCTCTCTTCCTCTTGGCTAGTGTGGGCTGGTGACATTCAATGTAGTACTTGCAAGGCTGGGCTGGGTAGCCAGTGCACTATGTCACAGCTGGTCATGTCCTGCTATTCGCCTAGAAAGCCTTGAGTGTGGGAAATGAATCCACAGTTTAACAGAGGAAAAGGGGGTTCAGGGGAGCAATCGTAAGCTCTGTAAATGAAGCAATAACACTGCCCAATGCAGCATTTCCTATGGCACCAATCAACTCCGTTGGCTTGAAGTATAATCCCCAGAAATGTCTGGCCATCTTCCAGCTCCAGAAAAGATGAAGATGGAGAATTCCTAGAAATCTCCAAATTTACTATCAAAAGAAAAGACTAGGGATCGTTTTCTTGGAATCAGGAGGCAGAACAGTGATCTTTCTCAAAAAGACATATTTCTTATTAATTGTTCAAAATGCAAAGACTACATTGGAAGAGGCAATCCTCAAGGAAGACACAGAACTTTGATTCCTGGGAAGGAAAAAACAAAATATTCCTCTGCTCCAATAGCTGTGGGGCCAGGCTGGCGTCAGAGCCCATGCAGCCCATGTCAGCTGGGGGTGTGGGTGTGAGGGGGACTGTGGCAGGTATGTGGGGGAGGGCAGGCAGTAGTACCGATCAGTGGCTTTTATTAACCTTCCCTGCCTGGATCTGAGTTCCTGCCTACAGAGCAGAATGAGCCTCTCCGAGCACTGAGGAGAGCCTGGGGAAGGAAGGTGGGAGTGAGGAAGTGCCAGATGCAGACAAGGCTCTGGCTTTCATGGGGACTCTGGGAGGGTGAGGAGGGGGAGACTCCCTCTGAACCTCTGGTGGAGTCCTGAGCCCTGACTGTTCCAGGGATGTCTTCCCTCAGAGCCCAGCCAGGACCAGGTTTGCAGGCAGTTGAATGAGCCTGGCACAGAGGACCACATCCTTATTGTGAGGGGTCCCCACCCAGATGGGGGGCAGCTTTTCCTCAACAAATTCGATTCAAAAATCATGGATTGAGGACCTGCCTTGTGCCTCTCTGTGTGAAGGGGGAGGGGAGCAGTGCTGCAAAGGACCCGGGAGGTGGGCCCACCTGTGCTCTCCAGGACTTTGCCATCGGAAGAATGAGCAGCTGACAGGGCAGGACCGGCTATAAAATCAGCACAGGTCAGGTGTTGTGTGGGAGAGACTCCTTCTAATGGGAGGCTGCAGGCATCTCTGCAGAGCTGAACCTTAAGGGATGGCGATGCATGAAAGACTTGGGGGAGGGCATTGCAAGTGCAGGGAACTGCCAGGAGGAACTGCCTGGTGTGAATCCTGGCTGAGCATGTGTTAACTCATCAAGCTAAGCCTGGGTGAGGTAATGGCACCTCCCTGTTATGAGGATCAAATGGGTTAACACTTGGCCTCATTCTAAGTTAATGCTTAGGAGTATGGCAGGCACATAGCAGGTGCTCCGTAGACATTAACTGTGACCAGTGACAAGTCAAGGTACAAGAAAATTTGGGTGAAGCTGCAAACATGAGGTTGGAGGTAACCTCTGCCAATTTTTGAGTCAGGGTCAAGCTTCAAAACAGGATCCAGCTTTCCCAGAGATTGCTCCAGGAATTATGAAGTTCCCACTGCTACTTCCTGGTCAGAGCACGGGGAGGATTAAAAACTCCCCCAGCACAAGGAGCCTCTGAAAAACGGGACCATAAGTGTCTTAAGCAACATCAAAGCCAGGGTTTTCCTGACTCAAAGGCCAGGGGCTGCTGTTTTATTAGTTAGCACTTTGGCCCTTGCACCCGCAACCCTGCCACCCTCCTCTCTGTATGCTCCTAGTGAGTTGTCATCAGTGCAGCAGCAGGAGGTGTGGTTGATCACACATCTGCACTGTCAGCCCAGCCAGCAGCAGGTCTCCGGTTATGGGAAAAGACACCTGTGTTGGCTTCTGTACCTGCCTCATCAGCACCAGCCAAGGGAAGGTTTTCAGGGTCATATCTACCCCCAGGCACTGTCTCATGTGCCCACTATACTACTAAGTCATCCCTTTGTTCATAAAACATGTTTAGTGAGCAACTACTATATGCTAGACACTATGGTGGGCACTGGAGCACCACCACAAAATAGGCAGCCCAGTCCTTGCCCAAGACAGTCCTGTGGGGAGACAGACAAGTAAGCAGGAAACCACCACACTACCAGAGGGAGAGGGGGGGAACACTGGGGATGAGTAGCGGAAGTGGAGAGGAAAAGCTCAAGGAATGCCTTCCCAAGCTAACACCTGGGAGGTAAAGCAGCAGGAAAGAGCATGTGCAAAAGCCTTGAGGCAAGAAAACCTGGCATTTTGGAGGATAAAGGTAGGCAGTGTGAGAAGGGAGAGGAGTGAGCAATGAGTATAAAGGGAGGTAGAGAAGCTCATGAAGGATCTTGGGGTCAAGTCAAGGGGCTCAGTAGTCAGTGGGGACCCACCAAGGGCCCTGGGTAGGGTTTGTGACCCAATTTGAATTGTGTTACCCAAGAGGATCAAGTGCATTAGAGCAAAGCAGACAGGATGCCTCTCTTACTGCTCCTCACCCCCAGCCTCCAGAGACTCTATGCCCACCCATCAGGGACAGCAGATACTTCCTGTGCAGTCAGGGGACTGGGTCCGTGGCCAGAAGAGAGAAGCCCTAGGGAGAGAGGAGGCTGGACGGCATCCAAGGCCACTGAGAGGAAGCCTTGAAAGCCTATCCTCTGAGTGACAGTGGCTGCTGGTGACCCCAGAACCAGACTCTGGCTCACGTCCCTGATTCCCTAGAGGCACGTAGTGTCTGAGTTCAGGGCACACTGTGGCCAGCAGATTGCTCATCTCTCCGCTGAAGATCAGACCCCAGGACCTCTGGTGGGCGAAAGGACCAGGCTGGCTCAGCATGCGCACGGTGTGAATTTGCACGTGTATCAGAGTGCCGCGGTTGACCTGGGCCATGCCCGCCATGACCTCACACGGGTCTCTCTTAAACTAACCTCGCTAGACATTCTGCCCAAGTCCACAGCCTCCACGAGGCCCTGGCGTGTCCACCATCTCCAAGCCTGTCATGGTCCACCAGGAGTCCAACTTCATCTATAGGCCAGCGGTGAAATCCGAGGTCCTGGTAAGCCTCCCGGGTCCCCTTCCAGCGCATCTCCAGAGAGCAGACCAGGGCCGCCTCCTCTGGGTTCTGCTGGAGGGACAGTGAGGTGGGACACAAACTCACATCAGGTGCCATCTCCTAACCATCTCATTGGCCACAAGATGAACCCACCTGGTGTAAGTGGTTGTTAACATGGCCAGTGACATTCCTGTTCCTCACTTGACCAAACAGGCTGCAGCTCCATCTAGAAGTAATAAAAATAACCGCTCAGACTTGCTGTGAGCCTACCATGTGTCGGCTCTGCAGGGTCTCACTTAATCCTCACCAACCCAGTAGATGGTACCTGTTATCCATCTTTCACACTTGAGGAACCCAAGGCTTAGAGAGGTTAAGTCAGGTGCCCAAGGCAAAGCCAGGACTTACTTCTTACTTCAGGGTCATTCAGAATCCAAAGCCCAAGCTCTGACCCACATTGCCAACTTGCCTAAACTTACGGTGATTCCAGTGGTCCTGCCTCTGCCCCTAATGCGCGGTGTGGCTCCACATGGCACGGACCACCCTCAGAGGGGACCTTGCCAAAGCAGATCCACCCTCCAGTTCACGTCTCACTCCTCTCTGGGACTGAGAGTGTGAGGTGTGGTGCTGGGGGAGAGGGGAGGTCTGCCCACTCTTGGTCACCCACAGCTAAGCGAGCTGGGACTCATGCGCACCTGCTCCAGGGGCACCAGCCACTGACTGGCCTCCCATCCATGGCGGGAAGAATCATGCCAGAATTCTAATTCTCCTTTCAAAAAAACCCTACCCAAATGTCAGGGCAGGGCAGCTCAGATACTTATTTTGAGCTCTAGCTGTCCTGTCAGCTTCCCGACAAGCTAGGTTCATGCTCTCGTGACAGCGGCTGGTGCATCTGTGTCGCATGCTCTGGCTGATGACAAGGGGTGGTGTCTGCTTGACTAGAACTGGGTAGCTGTGTGTCTGGGGACATCGTACGGGCCAGAATGTAAATCAGGCTGTGTCTATTTGGGGAGGGATTTTGTCAGGGCCACCCAGGGTAGCAGGCCCGTGATCGGGCACCAGGGGGCAGACGAGGCCTGTTGGTAACATCCAGCATGGAACTTTTTTTTTTTCTGGCAGCCACAGGAGATGTTGAAGAGGATGGTGGTTTATCAGACAGCGTTCAGACAAGTACAGTGATACCCGTCGTGTGTCTGTGGTCCTCCCTGCCACCCCGTGTCTCCCACTCTGACTTCTCTCTCTGGGAGTGCTGGTGGCTCTCAGGTGGCCCCTAGCGCCATCTGCTGGGAGCCTCAGGCCAAAGCTGTGTCCCCATGGCCACAGCCAGGGGTTGGGGAGGGTCTTGTGTCAGGTGGGGACATTAGGTTTGTTGGGCCCCATGCAGGATCCCTGGGGGCTTGGCTCTTTTACTGCTGTTTGTTCAAAGAGGAATAGGACAGAGGGAATCCTCAGAGGCCAAGATGGGCCCTTGTTCCAGCCCTAGGTGCCTGAGGTTTCTACCTGCCCCTCCCCCCATTTTGGCCCCTCAAGGCAGATCACAGAGTCAACCCAGCACCCCCACCCCCCACCCCACACTGAACCCACATCAGGGAGGAAGTGATGGCCCAGATCCTCCATCTGCCCAGGGTGCTCCTGTGCACGGGGCCACAGAGGTCCTAGCTGGTCCATGAGTGAGGTCGGGAGGCAGCCACTTATCCTCCCACCTTCTGGGGCTCACATCCACAGAACCACCACTGATTGGCTGCCTCACCACCAATGAAAGAGACGCCCAGATGGAGGGAGATCGTGCAGCCCAACTCTGCACTGATAACCCACCACCCAACCACAGGCGAATGTGACTACAGGCAGGAAGCTGAGGGGAGGTGTCGGCTGACAGTGAAACATGGGGGTCTGCCAAGGAGGCTGCTCCCAATGACAGGCGGTGGCTAACAGAAGGTGTGCTGCGCCAAGCACTGTCTCTCAATACTTTATGTCTGTTAATTCATTCCATCTTTACAGCAACCTAGGAGTTACGTGCTATCATCATCCCCATGTTGTAGATGAGAAACTCACGCAGAGAGATTAGGAAACACACCTGTGATGTTCTGACGCACACAGCCGGTGTCAGACCCCAGGTTTTAATTCGGGGGGTTGGGCCCCTTGACGCTGTGCCATTCTGTTTCTCCAAGCACCAGGATTGTCAAAGAGACATGTAAGGGCCGTGTTGCTTAGGGCACACACAGGTTCAAAGAGAGAGAGGCAGGAAGGTGAGAAGTCCAAGAAGAGAGGCAGGAAGGTGAGAATGGAAGTCAAGCCCTCGCTCCACTGCCCACTGACTGGCTGGCCTTGGGCATGAATGTCACCTCTCTGGGCCTCCTTTTCTCCTCTGTTGGATGAAGGGTTGGGCTCCTTTTTCAAGGGCTGACCAGCTATAATGGCTTATAAGTCTCTGATCTAAATTTACACAAGACACAAGCACTTGCCATCTGGCCCATCCCTGAGAGCAGATTCTCAGGGGGAAGGTTCTCGGGCCCTGAGCCAGCACTGCCGAGTTCTGCAGAAGCGACAGCCAGGGGTAGGCAGGGCCCTCCTGAAAGAGCATTGACTCAGATCCTGCCTCCTGATCTCACTTGCCTATGGATTTGCTGCCCTGACATCCATAGACTGACCTGGGGGTGGCCTCGAGCTGGACCAGGCTGGAGACTCCTTGGGTTTTTGGGGTTGAGCCGAGGTGATGAAGATTAGAGAGGAGGGAGGACAGGCAGATGCCCAGGGAGCCATCTGCTGATATGTGGCCCTCGTCTTGTACCCCGAGCTTGGATGCTTTATGCTGGGCATAGCGGTGGCTGTGGCCTCCCCATGATGCTGAACACGGGCCTCAAGGGACACTTGGCGTGGCCTAGGGAACTGTGTGCTGGGGGTGGCTCCGCTCAGTCCAGAAAGGCCGCTCCTTTGCTCCCATATTCCCATGGGGACCAGCAGAGGCTTTGCTGCTCTCCGGCCTGGTGTGCCTGGCCCCTCAGTCTGTGGACCCCGGGCTCCCGCTCTCTGTGTGACTCCTGGCTCTACCTCCTCCTCCCTTCTCACCACCTTGTTTCTACATCTTGGGAATATTGTTCCCAGAGTCCCCACCATCCAGGTCCCCTGAGCTGTGTGTCCTCTCGCCTCTTCCCCAGCGAAGGCTCTGAGGAGGCCTCTCACCTTCTAGATAAACACTACATTAAGATCAACACTGGACATGGGCAGGCACAGACTTCCTGCCTTTCCTCATGGTGCCTGCGCTCCCTTTGCTCCTGCCCCCCTCCCCATCATCCTGTGACTGATTCCCCAGGATAAGCAGTCTCTTGAACAGTGTTGGTCTTTCTTTGGGATCATAGCCCTGCGTGGAGAAAAGCTGGGCTTCACTCCCTCCCCTCCAAAAGTCTGGACCTGGCCTCGCAGGGCAGGGGCAGGAACTGAAGTAGGGCCATAGGACCTGTGGCTGTGGGAAGATAAGACCTTCAATAAGGCTGGCACTGCCTAGGCCACCTGGACACCTCTCAGCTTGGTGCCCCTGTCAGCCACAGATGTTAACCCCACCCCACCCCCATCCCCACCCCACCCTCCCCCGGCACTCCCAGGAACAGTGCAGGGTCCAGGGCTGGGACTCTCCTGATGCTTCCCACAGCTTTCTGCTTCTCCTGGGCAGGGGTGCTCCGGCTGTTGGGGCTGCCAGCCTCCTCCTGCATGCTCCATCCAGGCCACACCTGGCCCCTTCACCCTTTCCTCTACTTCTGCCCTAAGCTTGCTTCCTGCAGTGACCCTCGGGGGTCTCAGATCTGTTGCCCTAACACCGTCCTTTGCTTCCAGGATTTCCGGAAATATGAAGAAGGCTTTGACCCCTACTCCATGGTGAGAGAGAACTCTCCTCCCCCGCGAGTAACCCCAGGAATGAGGGCTGGGCGTTACAATGTGTTTGGTGGTGATACATTCTGGGCCCTGGGGGTGCCAGGGATGAGCACATGAGGAGCCCCAAGAAGGCCCCAACTGCTCTGCTCTTTCCTGTGAAGGCACCTTTCAAATGGCATTCAAGTGGGAAGTGTATGGTGTATGTGTGTGTGTGTGTGTCTGATAACAAGTTACACTCACTGAGCACTAACTACATGCCAGGCACTGTGCTGTGTGTTTATGAGACATGCTCTCGCCATCTCACAACATTCCCAGGAAGAATGGAACTGGGATTTGTGCGTGTGCCCACATGTTCCCCAGTGGGGCTGGGACCCCCAGTTCCAGACTGATGGTGGGAGGCTGGGAAAAGTCCCCTTGTCCATGTCCTCCTTAAGTGCTTGAGGACAGCCATGTCCCTTCCCACCCTTGCCCCACCCTCATCCTTCAGACAGACTCAAAGCTCCCCATTGTCTTTTCCCTCTAGTTCACCCCAGAGCAGATCATAGGGAAGGATATCCGGCTCCTGCGCATTAAGAAGGTACCTGGGCACATGGAGGTTGGGTAGCCGCCACGCTTCTCTGCCCCTGTCCCTCCCATCTTGGTCCCCTGCTTCTCCAACTCTCAGGAGACTCCTGGCTGACTCCCCAGATCCCCACTGTCCCTCCTCTCTCCCTTGAGGGGGCCCCTCCTGTGGTGGTGTCCCACGCCCTGGCCCTGCCTGGTGACCATGCCTCATTTTCTCCCTACGGCCCTGCCATTGGCCCCATGGCTTCTCCTGTCCTCTACGTGGCCCTGTCAAGAGGCTCATTGCCCAGGTGCCCACAGGCTGCTGTCTGCTTGGCTCCCTAAGGCCTGTTTTTCTCTAACCAGGAGGGATCCTTAGACCTGGCCTTGGAAGGTGGTGTGGACTCCCCGATCGGCAAGGTGGTCGTCTCGGCTGTTTACGAGGGGGGAGCTGCTGAGCGGCATGGTGAGAGGGGACAGCCGTGTCCTGGTTTGGGGATGGTGTGGTGGTTATACAGGACTCTGCAGGAAAGCCAACAGCTGCCCACTCGGAGTGGTTGGCAGTTGCTCAAGAATGCCCCTTCCTGTTCATCCGTCCACCCAGTACCACATGTTGCCTGTGTGCATACAGTGGTGCCAGGGCCTGTGAGTACACAGCCAAATCAGATATACCCTGCCCTCCAGGGGCTCCCCATCTCGTGGTGAAAACGTGCTCAGAATCACCAGGTACTGACAATAACAGTGCAGTCTGCCAAGGGCTGACAAAAGACTATGGGGGTGGAGGGAAGCTGTGGGAACTCTGAGGGGCCCCTAAGCCACCAAGGGAAAGGGGGCTGCTGGGAAGAGACCGATTACAAATTGTGAACTATGCTCTGCAGGAAAGGACCAGGATACAGTGAGAGAATAAAAAGAGCGATCTACTTTAGAGTGAGTGGGGGTCAGGGAAGACCTCTTTGAAGAGAAGACATTTCATCTCAGATGTAGACTAGACGAAAAAGAGAGGGAACAGTATTTCAGGTGGAACAGCAGGTGAGGCAGGAAAGAGCTTGGCCAGCTCAGGGCCCTGAAGCAGACCAGCAGGGCTGGAGCACAGAGAGGGATGGCTTGCAGAACTAGCTCATATTTCTAGTAACCTCCCTGGGAATGCAGGCCTGCCTCCCTCTGAAATAGCAGAGGCCCGTAGTAAAGCTGAGTGACAAAGATTATCACTGGTGTCCCTGTCTACTAAGTGGAGTGGGGGTGAGGGAGTGCGGACGGTGTGGGAAGGAAGTGCCTTTGAGCAACCTGGTGGATTGTTTCCCCTCGTGCTTCCGGAGCCCATGTGAGCTTTCAGAATCCAGGAGTCAGGCTTCTTCTGCAGCTCCACGGTGACCCCCTTAGCCAAGCCCTGGGCTAGGCACATGTCACATACAGCCCAGTTGCCAATCAACCTCATCTTCCCGCAGGCGGTCTTGTGAAAGGAGACGAGGTCATGGCAATCAATGGCAAAATCGTGACGGACTACACCCTGGCTGAGGCTGAGGCTGCCCTGCAGAAGGCCTGGAATCAGGGGGTAAGAGCGAACCTCCTCCCTGACTCCCTCCCTTGTGTGTTTGCCTCAAACCCTGGCCTCTGCAACCAGGCCTTAGAGCCGGGGTTCCTCATCCCAGGGGGGTATCCAGGATCCAGGCAACACTTGGGTGATGCCCACATACCCCATTCAGCCAAGAGTCTCAGTCTGACAATGTGGGATTCAGAAAAATAAATGTCAGTTCCTGATTTTGAATCCAAAAAGCAAGTAGCACAGATACAGACTCCAGAAGATTAGGTGTGGCAACCCACCCAAGAAGAAAACTTAAGGTCTTCTGTAAGTGCGCACTGACCAGGAATCAAGAGTGCCTGGGGCTACTAGAAAGCATTCACAGAAGCAGAGGGCCCAGAATGGAGGAGGGGCTGAGGGTAGCCTGCTCTGTGCTCATTAGACACCTGGGTCAGGGCCACCACATAAGATCTCCCAGGCTGTGCACTGCACAACTCGAGGGGTGCCCTCCTACCAACTACAGTGTGAATGGCGCCCGCTCATGTTGTGCAATGCACAACCTGTGCAACTGTATGCAGGCAGCCGAGCCTGGGGTATTAAGTTCAGAGCCGAGGAAGCTGACCAGATGGGACTGGGACCCACATGAAGGGATGTGGAGAAGAGAAGACTTACGGGTAACATGATGACTGTCTTTGATTATCTGAAGGGCTGCCTTAGGGTAGAGGGAGCAGAAGTGCTATCTGTGGTTCTTGAGAACAGAACTGGATTGGATGGAGGGAGGTCCTGGGAAGAGATTTCAGTTCCATACTAGGAGCTATTGCTTGGTAGAGGGACCCAGTGGTAGTTCACATACCTTTTATTGAATACGCCCAAATCAAGGGTGGACAATGATGGATAAGCCAAGGATGGCAGTGATCCATTGAGGGGGTGCATGCGTTAGGATCAGAAATCTAGCCTACAATTCCCTAATTGGCTGTACCTCAGAATAACTCAGGGACCTTGTTAAAAATACTGTTTCCCAGGACCTACCCTAGATTTCCCGGGGTCAAGTCCAAGAATCTAGAGTTTTAAGAAATTCCCCCATGACCCCAAGGATGCTGCCTGGCCCTGGTCCACAGGTCAGCATTTGGGAACTTGGTGTCATACAAGGGCCTGGCAACCCTGGCTCTGTGGTTTGAAGCCTCAGAGACTGGAAGCTTCCCCAGACCATGGGGCCACAAAGTGAGACCCATCCCACCAGGAGGTCCTCCAGACCCAACTGGGCCCACCTTCCCATGAGAAGAAGGTCCGAGCCAGCTGATCCTGGGCCATGGTGCCCAGGAATGGGAATGGAGTGTCAGGGGCAGACATGCCATCAATCCCTGAGCATGCCCTAGCATCACATACCTTCTCCCCACAGGACTGGATCGACCTTGTTGTTGCTGTCTGTCCCCCGAAGGAGTATGATGACGAGCTGTAAGTGTGTGCGGGAGCCTGGCACACTACCTCCTCTGTCTCTTCCTCCTCCAGAATCTTGGCTCCCTTCTGCCAGCCCACTCCCGGCCTCCATCAGCCTGAAGGAATGCCCCAAGCACACAGCTTCTAGTAGAAATCACTCCTAGAACTCACTGAGCTAGAGAAAGCCTAGAACTAAGTCATGGTCCTCAAGCATTTTCAGAGCTGCCTCTGAGACTATCTTGTCCAAATTCTTCTTTACGTCTGGAAAACTAAGGCCCAGAGAGGTTCAGGTCTCAGACCAAGTAAATGGTGAAGTTGGTACAAAGCCTCGGGACTTCTGATTCCCCACTCAGAGGCTCAGCCCTCACACCCTCATCAGCTAGTTTACAGATTTCTGTCTTTAACTCTCTGGATGGTCTCCCTGATAAGTAACTGCTTTGCTTCTTGCTGAGTCTTTAAGCTGCCAGGACCACAGACTTTGGCCCTACTTGCAGGATCTGCGAAGAGCCTTGGTCCAGTTTCCATCTTCCTCTGTGATTTCCTATATGTCTGTTTCTCTCTGTTTCATTCCTGTCTCTGTACCTGTGTGGATCTCTAGTTCAGTCCTCTCTGTCTCCTTCCCCTCTCTCCCTCTTCCCTATTCTCTCTGTCAATCTCTCTCTCCCATCTGCCCCACTCTTTCCCCTTCTCTTCTCTTCATTGCCTTCCCTCTTCTTTCTTACTTTCTCCTTTGCTTCTCTATCTCTGAGTCTCTGCATCCATTTTTTTAAAAAATATATTTTATTGATTTTTTACAGAGAGGAAGGGAGAGAGATAGAGAGTCAGAAACATCGATCAGCTGCCTCCTGCACATCTCCCACTGGGGATATGCCCGCAACCCAGATACATGCCCTTGACCGGAATCGAACCTGGGACCTTTCAGTCCGCAGGCCGACGCTCTATCCACTGAGCCAAACCGGTTTCGGCTCTGCATCCATTTTTATCTGTCTTTTTCTGTCTCTGTCTTTGTCTCTCTCTACCTCTCTGGTGTCTGACCTCCATCTTCATCTTATCACATCACCTCCTTACCCCTCTGCTTGCCTGTCGTGGCTGGACCTGCCTGCTCCCCCTGCCCAGCAGAGGCTGAGTCCTGTGCATGTCTTAGAGAAATCAAGGTCTCATAGCAAGGAATTCTGGAACCCAGGGCCTAGGCAGGAGCCAAGTGAAGGGAGAGGTCCGATGGAGTTCTGCCTGGGAATAACTGAGCCCTGTTTTGTGTTTCCTGCTCTGCTCTGCGTATGTAGCTCTTCTCTTCCCTCCTCTGCAGCCGAAAGCCCCCAGCCGGTCCGAAAGCTCCTTGAAGACCGTGCTCCCGTGGTTAGACACGGGTTCTTCCTGCAGCTGGAGCCTGGCAGCCCCCCACGGTGAATAGGCAGGCGGGCTGCAGGGCCCCGTCTGTCCATGCTGCGTGTCGTGGCCGTCTGCTGCCCATGCCGTCGGCAGGTTCTTTGGACTGGTGTCTGGAGGGGCCCACGAGGCGCCATTCCTGAAGTGCCACTCAGGCCTGCTCTTGGCCACACTGGGTTTCTGTTGGACTCAAAGGCTCTCTCATTCAGGGGAGCTGAGCAGAGCCTGCTTTGTAGCAGGCTGGGTCCTGGGCATCCTGACTCACCACAGCCCTTGGGACCTGCCACAGGTCCCACACAGCACCCCAGTGAGCAGGATGGAGCGGTGAGCACCATCCTCTGCTGGGCACAGACAGTGCTTCAACCCGGGCACCACGGGCTTGGAGACCCCAAAGCAAGTGCAGCCTGGAGTTCCCCTTCCTTGGGGTGCCACCTTCTGGGAGCCCTGCTCCACTTCGCCCCATGCTTGGGCAGGGCCAGGGCGATTAAGAAGCAATGAAGGCTGGTCCAAAGAACCAGGGTTGGCCTATTGGGGTTGTTCATGTTGTGACTGTAGTGGCCTGAGCCTGGCTCAGACCAAACTGTTCTCTGTGCCTTCTCTCTCCCGTGGCTCTGGATTCTTATCTGAGGGACACTGCGGAGCCCACCTGTGGGATGTGTTTTCCACCCTGTGACAGGGCTGTGCCCATGGGCAGAGCTGGCAGGTGGCTGTGAAACTGGTGTTTGGTGTGGTCTAAAGCCCACAGCTAGCAGCATTTAGGGCAGACGCAAGCCTGGACTTATGTCTTTTCTGTCACAAGTTCCTCAAAACATAAGGGCCTCATGCTCCCAAGACCACTGGCCGGCTCTGCTGTGGTTTCGGGGATGGCCTCAGTGGCCCTATGTTTTCTGTCGCGTGTCCTCTGCTCTTTGTGAGGGACCCCAGCCCCTCTGCCTTCCGGCCCCCTCCTACCTCATCCCAGGTGTCCCTTCTGCTTCCTCCCTGGCCTCCTGTGTGCTGTGGCTATGACTGGTGTGTAGCTGCTGGGGGCCTGCACCAAGAGGGGCTGCCAGAGGTTGGCAGGGCCGTGCACCCCTGGGGAGTTCTGCCTGTTGTCAGGCCCTTCCCTGGGCTGAGTGTGCACCCACAAGGCCTGCACCCTCCTGGTCTGTTTCATCTTCCCCACAGGACCTTCTTCTGAAGTCCAGAAGGAGAAACCAAATTCACCCCTCGAAGCCAGTGAGCTCTGGACCCGCCCTTCTGAACACAAAGCCGGGAACCAGCCTTGAGAGACGCCAGCCTGCAGGCACCCTGGAAACCCACAGTCAGCACCCAGCGGCTTCAGACACCCATTGGCCCTGTAGAGGAGCTGCATGGGAGCACCTCGGCCATTGCTCTGAAGGCCAGTATGGAGGGAGAGCAGCCAATCGTTCTGGAAGGGCCCCTGGAAGCCGGACTCGCATGTCTTCTCTCTGGCCCTGTGAATTTGGTCTCTCCCAGCCCTGGGAGACTTCTCCCTTGAAATCCAATAGGACCTGACTCTTCGGTCCCACTCTCTACACCCTTCTCCCCTTGGTCCTTCCTGCTGTCATTGCTGCTAAGATTGCTGCCACAAACCTTACTTTGAACTCATCAGTAAAATAAACAGATTTCTTTTCCAGCTTACAGGAGAGAGTGTGGATTTGGGTAGCAAATTCAAGACTGTGAAATTAAAAAAACAACAACATATAACGTTTTGGCTCCTAATCAAGAGTGAGAAACAGAACCCAGTGCTGGAATTTGGGTCTCACAGGAAGGAAATAATCAAGGCCAGGGGCTGCTTGGAGCCGAGGCTGAGGCAGCAGAGGCAGGCTGAGCTGGGCTTCAGTGTCTTCTCAGCAGAAAGATGGCAGGAAATGAAGCCAGTGTCGTAGAGACTTTACTCAATTCCAGAAAGCATAGCTTTAAGCAGGGGCCCCAGATGGTTGCCTCAAGGTGTGGGGTTCCCCAGCTTCTCTCAGGGACAGCATGGCCACGGCTGCTTCCCCTGAGGTCCCCAAGACAGGGTGTGAGTGAGGGAGGTGCAGGGGTCCAGCCCGTCCATGAAATTACATCCAGCAGAACCTCATGGAAGGAGACAGGGCTTGAGCCAAGGAGCTGTCGGAGGATAAGTGGAGGCCCTCCTGGTCACAGGGCCTAGGAACGCTCTCAGGCTAGCTCCAGGGAAGAGAGTGGGGTCGTGTCAGTATTAGGCATCTTACGGAAATCCGAGCCAAGGAGACATAGTGTCCTCAGGCTTCCTGAGAATTGGAAGTGGAAAGTGGTTCTGATTTAGTGTCTCAAAGGAGCAGCACTCTCTGTTCAGGCCTCCTGTCTCTGCCACCAGCTTCCTCTGTACCCCCAGGGCTCAGCTTGAACATGGCCATCATGATCATTGGCCAAGCTCTAGGTGACTTTTCAGCTGTGACTTCATCACCATCACCTGGCTCAGTTTCCATTTCCCAACTCCAAATTCCCAAGGCAGAATCTGATTGGGCCAACTCACCTGAGTGGGCAGCCCTAGGGCCAGGGATCATTCCTAGGTCCAATCAGCTATGGCTAGGGGTGGCATCAGGTCCCACCTAACATAGCTGCTGAGGCAATAGAGACTGTGGGGAGCAAGTCATAATCGATGGGAGGCACAGAGAAAGAGAGAATCTGTTGGACTTTCTGATCTCAGTGGAGACAAAGCCACAATGACCTTCTAATAGCTCCAGAGACAGCAGCCATGCTGAGGTGTTCTCTGTATTTTCTTATCTAGCTCCTGACTTGACTCTGGAGACAATTCCAAAATGAAGGTAAAAGGAGGTGGCTCATCTTTGCTGCCACCCACTATGGGCGAGGCCTGGGCTGGACCCTGGTGTCTGCCACCTCAAACTGCAATGACTGGGGTGGGTGCATGGCCCCCCAAGGAGCCAACACTTAGCATTGACTGCATGACAGAGACTATCCTAACCACTAAGAGCATCTGCTCCCCACAATGACTCTACAAGGTAGGTAATAATATCATCACCAACCCCGTTTTGTTAAGAGAAGATTGAACTACAAAGCGGTTACCTGACTTGCCCTAGGTCACGTGAGAAAGTGGAGCTGGCACTTGAAGCCCAGGCACTCTGACCCCAGAGACCATACCCTCTCACCACATCCTGTGCAGGGCAGGGCAGCCCTAGTGGAATGTCTCAGGTTCCAGACCTTTGGCAGAACAATTCTCCCCATAGTTGATGAAGAACAACTAACATTCTGCTTGCTGTTCAGCGATGGTTACCTCCTCGTGTGACTCACAAATACTGCTGCTGAGGCCTCCTGCTTGTTGATGCCTGGAATCTCAGCATTGGAAGTTATCTCCAGCTATTCTTAGTTCTTGGCACCTCAGAACAAATGAGTTTATCAGTGCTTTTCAGCGCTTGATGAGTGGGACAACAAAGAGGGCCTGAGCCCCTGGTTAGAGGAGAGGAGCAGGGAAGGTGTGCCACTGGGCAGGGTGGGAAGAGGGAATAGGGGAGGCTGGGATGTGAGTGACATAAGTTCTGAGCCACAAGGCTGCCTAGGGCTGGCAGGGTGTGTGGGCTTCAGCTTGCTTTTTTATAAGGCCTGACTCCTCTTCACTATCATCAAGGAAATCAATTTTCATGTATTGGAAAGTTCTCCCATGTTGAACCCAAAGTACACAGCTCTCCCCAACAGACATTGGCAGTAACCAGGTAAGAAGTGGAAAGCCCAGAGAATGTGTTTAGAGGTTGGGCCTAAAGCAGTTCCTAACTTTCCAGGGGAGCCATGATGGGCCCTTCTGAGGCAAGAGTCCACTAGGGGCACTGGGCCAGACCTGGGAATTCACTTCAGTGCCAAGGCTGAGTATTCAGGAAAAAACCCATCCAGGCAAAGGACAGCCATGCATCACCCATCGGCTCCCACACACATGGCAGACATCACTACGGTAATCCCAGTGCTCTCTCTAACCAGCTAAACAGGGAGCCACTAACAGCTGATCAAACCTGGCCACAAGATGAGCCCTACTTGCCACCTTTGAATCGACCTCCCATCCTTGGGTATTCAGGAAACTGAGGCCAAGGAGGGGCTTTCTTGTCCAGTGTCCCCCTAACTTGGTGGTAGAGCTACCATTTCTGTTGCACCGTGGAAACAAAACCGGAAAAAGTTGGGAACTCGAGGTGCCCTTTGACTGTGAACTTTTAGCATTTTATTTATCTCACTGAACTTGCTTCCCACAGCTAGTCTCGGGTTTACTGAGCTGGCCTTGAACCTCTCACCTCTGCATCTGGAAGTCGGAGTGCAAGGGCTGGGGTACAGCCTCTGTGCTTAGAGACACCCCTTTGGGCCTGAGCAGGGCTAGGAAGTTGGTTTTCACCCGACTCCAACCTAATTCCCAAGCCTGAGACTTGGATAAAAATCTGTTCTCAGAGCTGAAAGCCCTTTTCTCTTCCTGTCCTTGCAGTGACCCTTCCCAGGTCCCTGGGCCCAGGCTGGCCATGTTCTGTGAGAACCGGAGGGCGCAGGCACAGCCCCTGGGAAAGGCAGATGGGGGCTGGCCCGGGGAGAGGGCAGAGGTCCTGCCACAGCTGTCCTCCTGGGGCCTGGAGGGGCACCCCAGCAGCCCACCCACTGACCTTGGTGGGAGTAAGATTGCTACTAACTGCTAGGTATTTACTCTGTGTCAAGCACTGCGCTGAGCCCTAAGCCTGTAGTGACAGGTAATCGTTACCAGACATTACTAAGAGGAGACAATGATGCTGTTTATGTTCATCAAGGGAGCTGAGGCACCAAGACTTAAGTAACGTACCTGACTTAAATAGTAAATGGAAGAGCCAGATGTAGACCCAGGCAGGGTGGCTCCAAAAGTCCATATTGACCACCATGCTATACTGCTTTGAGAAGTGGGAAAGAAAGGATGGGTGGAATATGATTTCAGAAGCACCAGGGGAAACTCCAGCCATAAAATAATTCCTCTCTGCACCTATCTTTTCTCTGCTTCATTGTGTCCTTCCCTCTGCAGAGTGAAGCAGCCCACACCTGGCTCTCCTTAAAACTCTCCAACACCTCCCACTGAGATGGACCCTTTGTGACAGAGATAGGTCACCCAATTCAAGACCACTGAAGTAAAAAATCCAGGGGTAGCTGATGTCAGGTCTGACTAGATCCAAGTAGTAAAACAAGACATTGGGAACTTGTTCTGGGCATCTGTAGCTGTCAGAGGGTGGGGTGGGGGTGAAAGAGAAAGAGAAAGAGGGGAGGGAGAGGAGAAATTTTAAGGAATTGGCTCAAACGATTGCAAAGCTTGGCAAGTCCAAAATCTGCCGGGCAGGCGAGCAGGTTGGAGACCCAGGGAAGAGCCAATGTTGCAGCTCAAGTCTGAAGGCAGTTTGGGGGCAGAATTCCCTCTTCCTCAAGGGCATCAGTCTTTTTTCCATTAACCTCTTCAACTGATTGGGTGAAAACCACCCACATTATAGAGGATAATTTTTACTCAAAGTCTACTAATTTAAATGTTAATTTCATCTAAAAAAATACCTTCACAGCAACACCCAGACATGTTTGACCAAATATCTGGGTAGCGTGGCCTAGCCAAGTTGATACGTAAAATTACCCAGCACACCATCTCTGGACTCTCCCCCCATCTGGTTGGCTTCATTCTCATATAGGCTCTTCCCATGTGATGCCAAGATGGCCCTCCAGCATCCAAAACGTAGTCTACCGCGTAGTGCAACCCCCGTGGAAAAAGCACATCTCCATCCTAAGAGTGCCAGCTAAATCCCAAGGACTTACTCTGATTTGCTTGACTTGAGGGTAAGGCCTTCTCCAATTGGCCAAGCCTGCGTTACACATTCACACATGTAGCCCCATCAGCACCCCATGGACTGAGTGAAGGGAAAGGATGGGTTCCAAAAGGAAAATTGGGGTGCTGTTACAGAGGAAGGAGAAATAGATCTTGGCAGGCACAAAGCAGGGTCCACTAAGGACCTCAGTCCCCCAAAGTTCCTTCTCCCCCTCCCTTCCTTCTGTTCTTCCCTTTTCCTGTCCCTGTGACCTACTCTGGGAGGAATCGGGTGCTCAGGAGGCCAGGGGTTAGCTCCCTTGGTGTGTGGAACCCTCACCAACTCACAGCTGCTTGGCCACCACTTGGGGAGAAGAAATGGGGAAGTGAGGGGCC